GAGAAGGGGGCGGAAAAAGAAAGGGGGCCTTACTATTAGCATGTATAATGTGTGTGTGGGGGCACAGGGAGGGCTGTGCAATATAGAAAAGACAAGCAGTGATTTTACAGCATCTTACTACACTGATGGACAGTGACTAATGGGGTATGTGTTGGGGACTTGGTGAAGGGGGGAGTCTTGTAAACATAATGTTCCTCATGTAATTGTAGATTAATGATACCAAAAGATAAAAAAGAAAAAGAAAAAATAACTTAGGGGAAAAACTGAAAAAAAAACTCCTAGAAGACAACGTGGGCAAAAATCTCCTGAATATAAACATGAGCAAGATTTTCCTGAAGGTATCTCCTCGAGCAAGAGAAACAAAAGCAAAATGAACACATGGGATTACATCAAACTAAAAAGCTTCTGTACAGCAAAGGACACCATCAACAGAACAAAAAGGCATCCTACAGTATGGGAGAATATATTTGTAAGTGACATATCCAAGAAGGGGTTAACATCCAAAATATATAAAGAACTTACACACCTCAACACCCAAAAAGCAAATAACCCGATTAAAAAGTGGGCACAGGATATGAACAGACAGTTCTCCAAAGAAAAGATTCAGGTGGCCAACAGGCACATGAAAAGATGCTCCACATCACCAATTATCAGGGAAATGCAAATTAAAACCACAATAAGATATCACCTCACACCAGTTAGGTTGGCCAGCATCAAAAAGACTAATAACAACAAATGCTGGCGAGGATGCGGAGAAAGGGGAACCCTCCTACACTGCTGATGGGAATGTAAGCTTGTTCAACCATTGTGGAAAGCAATACGGAGGTTCCTCAAAAACTAAAAATAGAGATACCATTTGACCCGAGAATTCCACTCCTAGGAATTTACCCAAAAAATGTAATTTCTCAGATTCAAAATGACATATGTACCCCTATGTTTACTGCAGCACTATATACAATAGCCAAGATATGGAAGCAACCTAAATGTCCATTAGTAGATGAATGCATAAAGAAGAGGCGGTACACATACACAATGGAATACTATTCAGTCATAAGAAAGAAACAAATCCTACCAAGAAATGGAAACAACCTAAGTGTCCATCAGTAGATGAATGAACAACATGGATGGAGCTGGAGGATATTATGCTCAGTGAAAATAAGCCAGGTGGAGAAAGACAAGTACCAAATGATTTCCCTCATTTTGGAGTATAACAACAAAGCAAAACTGAAGGATCAAAACAGCAGCAGACTCACAGACTCCAAGAAGAGACTAGCAGTTTCCAAAGTGGAGGGGTGGGGGAGGGTGCGTCGAGAGGGAGGGAGAAGAGGATTGAGGGGTATTATGATTAGCACATATGGTGTGGGGGGGATCATGGGGTAGACAGTGTAGCACAGAGAAGGCAAATAGTGACTTGGTGGCATCCTACTACACTGATGGGCAGTGACTACAATGGGGTATGGGGGGGACACAATAATATGGGTGAATGTATTAACCACATTGTTTTTTCATTTGAAACCTTCATAAGAGTGTATATCAATACCTTAATAAAAAAATATAAATATAAAGGAAAATGGGGTATTGACATCTCCAAGTATTATTAGTTCCTTTATTTCTACTAGTTTTTGCTTCATGTCTTTTGGCACTCTGTTATTAGGTGCATATGTCTATAATTGTTATATCTTCCCAATGGGTAGACCCTTTTATCATGAAATTTCCCTCTTTCTCTTTAGTAATATTCTGAAATTTTGAAATCTATTTTGTCTGGTATTAGTATAGCACTTGAGCTGTTTGCATGATGTACCTTTTTCCATCCATTTGCTTTCACTCTGTGTCTTTGAATCTAGTGTGACTCTTGTAAACAAGAATTGGGCTGTTTTCTTTAAATCCAATCTGATAAGCTGCCTTTTGATTGGATAATTATTTGTTATTACTGATAGAGTTGGGTTTATATCTGCTACTTTGTTTTCTATGTCTCATGTCTTTTCTAGTTCTTGTTCTCCTTTTGTGTTTTCCTTTGCATTGGATGAATATATTCTAATATAGTATTTTAATTTCATTAATGATTTTTTCACTTTTTTGAACCATTTTCTTGGTGATTGCTCTAGGGTTTACCATATACCTCTTAACTTACCAGAATCTATTATAGATTTATACTTGTTAAATTCCAATATTTATTGTACACAAAAATTGTCAAAATCTCTATTGCCACTTCCTCATTATGGTTATACATATCTATTGCTACAAACCCAAAATTACATTGTTATAATTATTTGTTTACTATCATCATTTGATCAGCACATTATAGCTTTGCTCCCACCCACCTCCTTTGTGCTGTTATTGGCAAATATGTAATATATTAATTTCTGTATGTTATAGGTCCAATACAATATATTCATATTATTTTATACAGTTGACTATTGACTCAATTTAGAAGAGAGAAAGCATGTATTTATACTTTTATAATGACAATTATTTTTACTAGAGCTCTTTGCATATGTGGATTTGCTTTACTATCTGAAGTCACTTGCTTCAGCCTAAGGAACTTCCTTTTATATATTTCTTGTGAGGCAGGTCTGCTAGCAACAAATTTTCTGTTTTTATCTAGGGAAGTTGTTGATTTCACTTTCATTTTTGAAGGATACCTTTGCTGGATATAGGTTTCTTGGTTGGTAGGTTTTTTTCTTTGAGCACTTTGTTATTCCTGCCTCTGGCCTCTATTGTTCCTTATAAGAAGTTGTTAATAAGTTCCTTTGTAAATGATGCATCATTTTTCACTTGCCACTTTCAAGATTAACTTCAGCATTTTACCATGGTATGTCTGTGGGTCCCTTTGTGTTTATCCTACTTGACATCCACTGAGCTTCATGGGTATTTTCAGCCATTATTTCTTTGAATGATTTTTTTCTTCTTTCTCTCTTCTTCTGGTACTCCCATTATGCATATATTGGTGTCCTTCATGGTATATCACATGTCTGAGACTTAGTACATCTTTCTTCATTTTTTTGATCTTTAGATAGCATAATATCTATCAATCTATCAGCAAGTTTGTTGAATCTTTCTTCTGTCACTTCATATCTACTGCTTTAACCCACCTAGTGAATTTTCCATGTTATACTTTTTAACTCCATGAATTTAGCCCCTCCAACTTGGAGCTGGAGGGAATAAGAAATGCTGGCATCATGCCCCTCACAGTGAGGTATTACATTGCTTGATTGGAAACTGAGGAAAGGACCCTCATTTTATTGGCTAAACCCACCTAGATTACTGCATCTGTCATCACACTGAGATAGGGAGAGACAGAAAGAATGGGTTCTGGCTAGAGCCACAAACCCCCACTGTTCCTATCAAGGTTTAGATTTTTTTTGACTAAGTGTCTCTTTGTTTGCAGTATGCCCTCAGGACTATTTCTAGAAATATGAAAAAATACTTTGGAATATTGTCCAGTTAGTTTTTCAGGATAGCAAATCCACGGAGTCCCTCACACTGCCATTCTGGAAATGGAAGTCTAAGAATGTTGGAAAACTTAACTGTTTACTTCATAGCATTAAGAGATATTTAAAGGAGAAAAACCACACAATTAGATCAATAGATGCAGAAAAGACATTTAATAAAATTTAGCACTGGATTCGGGATTAGAAAGATCATTTCCTTAACTTGATAAGGAGCACCTGCTAGAAAACAACAGCAATGGGGTACTGAATGGTAAAACTCCAGAAGTTTATCTTCAATGTCAGAAATAAGTCAAGGATGTCAACCACTATCATTTACATTCATTATCATATTGGAAATACAGAAAGTAGTAAGTATTGGAAGAAATAAGTTGTCATTATATACACCTTACATGATTGCTATGTACAGGACAATTTATAGAACCATTAGAACTAATAGGAGTTCAGCAAGGCTGCTAGATATAAAACCAATATGCAAAAATCAATAGTATTCTTTTAAACTAGAAAACAAATTTTTTTTAAAAAGCCATTTACTATAGCAACCAAAACTGTAGGATAATTGGGAATAAATATAAGATGTGCATGACCTTATAAGTGAAAGTTATAATGGAATTTTCTTTATAATATATAAATGGAGTGATGTCTTATACATAGACGGGAAACTTAATATAATGAACCATATCTCCCCAAATAATCTGTAGTCATTACAATTTCAAAATCAAAATCATATGTGGTAAGTTGATTCTAAAATTTATATGGAATAAAGGTCCAAGAACTAAGGTATTTTTGGAAAATGAAAGGAATTACTCTACTACATATGACAGCCAATTGTAAAGCTACAACGACTAAAACAGCAGGTTATTGGCAAAGTTCAATCAATTTAACAGAATACAGAGCCCAGAACCATTCCCATAATTACATGGAAATTAGATATAATGATAGAGGTGGCCTTACAAATCAGGAGAGAATGGATGGACTTTTTAAAAAAGTTGCTAGGGGAATAACTAGTCATGTGGAATCTGCATGAGAATTCATGAAAACATAATCATTGTTTTAGGTTAGGGAAATAATTAAGTTAGGGAATAAAACATGGAAAGGCTGAATTTGACTACCTAAATTAAAAACTTCTGTATGATAAGTAACATCATAAAGTAGATACACGGATTTTCTAATTCTCCCCATTTTTATGCTGAAATATAAGAAGCCCCAACCAAAACTAAAAATTTATAAAATATCTAGGAATAAGCCTGAAATGTGTTGAGACCTTTATGAAGAAAGATATTAAATTTTTATCCAAGAACATAAAATACTTTAATTAATAACAGAGGGCTATTATGGTACTAATGGGAAAGTTTTATTAATTGTAAATAAGTCCATTATCCTCAAACTCATGTACAAACTAATACAATCCCAACCAAATGAGCAACACAATTTTAGTGAAACTTAAATTGATTCTAAGATTTACCTGTAACAGAAAATGTAAAAAAAAGACACTAAAGAGGGGGAAAAAGGACAGGGAACTTAGTACAATATCAAATGACAGTGAAGAGTATGATTGGTAGAATAGATCCATTGTCCAGAAATAGAGAACTTAGTATATGATGAACTTGGCATTTCAAACAGGGGCAGAAGAGAATAGACTATTCAATAATAGTTGGGACAACTGCTTTTTCATTTCTATTTGGAGAGAACCCTAAAAGATAAATAACTAATAGTAAAACAAGGCAAGTATGACATGAATGGGAAACATAAAATAGAGGTTCTACAAATAGCAAAAAAAATATGGAAAAGTTTGTTTTTTTAAGTAATTAAGGAAATTTAAACAAGACATTTCAAACACAGATTTATTTTAAAAAGACAAAAACAGAACTCCCAAGACTGATTCTACCTACTGTTTGGCAAGCATGTGGAGAATAGGTTCTTTTAAGGGAGTGTGAATTCAAGGAAGCAGTTTCACCATATCCATTAAAATAAAAAACCTACGTAATTTTAGTCCAGCAATTCCATGAAGGTAGAATTACAATTACAGGGATAAAAAGGTGTCTTGTATATAATGTTAAATGATAAGTTAGTTGCAAAATAAGGATGCTATAATCCCATTTATGTAAATCACATCTATAAAACAAAACTAGCTGTCATAATAAAGAGACCCCAAAAGACAGTGGTTTAAACAAGTCCAGAATTTATTTTACTAAAAGATGGAAGGAAAGCAGTTCAAGACTGGCAAGCTGATTTCCCTATCCTATACACATGGTTTCTGTGGCTCCCCTATTACTGCTTCAACTGCCACAGGCATCTCAACCAGCAAGAACAGGGAATGTCAATATGAGTGTGCATTCACTTGCGTATTTAAGGGCTGGAAGTTCTATTCGCATCCCATTGCTTAGTCATGTGGCTACAATTAACTATAGGAGGTGCTGGGAAGCTTATAGTAGCTGAACGGCCATGTGTCCAGTAAAACTCAGGAATCTTCTCAATAAAGGAAGAAGGGAAATCTGGACAGTATAGCAGCAGCCTCTGCCATATGTATCTGTAAACACATGGAAAATAGCTTGGAAGAATATGCACCAAATCTATCTCTGGAACATGAGCAAGAATGGTTGGGAGAAAGAGTACTGCCTGAAATCTTGTAAACAGTAATAGTACATTCATGTATGAACTATGGAATTCCACAAAATTTTTAAATCCATTATTGCAGCTTGATACCAATATAACATTAAATACATTATCTATATTGTACAAAGCTTTCTGAAAAAGTTCTAAAACTTAGATTTTATCTTAATGAATAAGTTACTCTATATTGTTAAGACCACTATATTTACAGCATCTTCCTCTAAAATCTTTCCAAAAACAGAGTAAAATGAACAAGTCAAAATCTTTAAAAAGCAGAAAATCCTTGTGGGCATCATGACTGATTATGACATCAACCATCTAAGGGGAGAGATTCCTGGCCCAGCTATCTGACAAAATCTCAGAACAGAAAAGTAAAACTCACATCCCCCAACCCAAGCTTCATGGTGCCCCAGTAGAGGCTCTCTCTGACCCCCAAGTCCAAATCTCTTCCCCCTAGGTCTGGAAACAGCTGTTCCCTGTCAGGATGAGCAAGATGTAAAAAGACATGGCATGGGAGGAGGGCAAGCATAATCCAGAAAATCAAAGAGAGGAAAAACAGCAAGCCAGAGAAAACAAATACAAGAAACAAACAAATTACACTGTGACAGCTCTAGAAGAAATCTAAGGAATACAATGAACTTAAGAAAAGACTTCAGAGATGAGATGATAAAATAAGAAGGAAACAAGAAAAACAAGACTCAGAAAACAGAGGATCAAAACAACACAACCACAGAACTATAAATACATAAACAATAGTCAGAAACAGAATGCAGCAGCTGAAAACTAAAACTCTTCAACAGGGGAGTCAGTATAAATACAAAGAAAAAGAGATATAAAAACAAATGGAAAGATGACCACACATAAGGAGAAGAGTGATGCCTAATATACAGTAATCAGCATCCTTAGGAAAGCAAATGATAAATTAAATAAAAAAGGTTCTAAGTTGCCTTCCAGCATGTACACAGAGAGAGGCTGGAATGGTGGTCACTATGGCTGGAGTCTGCAGTGATGTTTATGTGCATGTGTTTGTCTGTTGGTTGTTGTATTTGTACTTATTTTTGGTTCTGCTTGAGTTTTTTTTTTCTTTTTAAGATAACATATTTCATTTTCCTAAAACCAACAGATAGTTATTGTAAGGGGTTTGAAAAAGATGCCTTTTGCTTAAAGTAAAGCCAGTGTAAACTGAGTATACTACAACTTTCTGCAAATACATCTTATCATTTATCACTAAGCTATTTCATGCTTTACTAATGAAAATACCTGCCAGTTTAACAGTATCTTAAAAGGAAGATCATTTAAAGGCAGTTAATATGACTCAAAGCATAACAAATCTTATTTTTTGGGTGGCAAATGATAAACTTAAATTTAAAAGCTATGCATCAAAAATAATGCTGTTATCAGATATTGGTTAACTTATTGAACAGGTCTGACTGAATATAAAACATGTTTTTAGCACCAATAAAAAGAATTCTTGAGACTTCTGGTCTACAAACTTCTAAATGAGTAGTGATATGCTTTCTGACAGCCATCTTTTAGGTAAAGGAACAAATGTGTTTCAAGGATTAACTTTTAGGTCCCTGATTTTATAACATAATTCACAGAACCAAGAAAAAAAAAAATCAACCCAAGCATTTTTAAAACTTTTAAGTTTCAGAAAATAATTTCTTCTCTTTTAAAGTTTCAATTATGAGGTAGAGATCAAAGTAAACATCAAATGAAGCCATCTTTTGTTGACAAACATGATTATTAATCATAGGATTAATAATTAGAAATTTCCATTAGAAAAAAGCCAGTCAAAAGTGTAGAAAGTAATATTGATCAGCAGTATTCTGGCTTGAGTTTCCAAATTCCTTCGCCATTAGAAGTTCTATGAAAAATGCACAGATTTCTCAATAGTTCTCGGAAGACACAAGACTGTGAAGTTGATAACTTGGATTCGAACTCCTGCAGTATCTCCTGAGTGCTGGCCTGCCCATCAACATGGGCCTGAAAAGCAATAAAGTTTCTCATTTCTACCAGTAGGTCGTCATGCTCTGTGGTGGAAGGCAGTGGAGCAGAGGCCTCCTGAAGGTGCACATTTTCACCTTCTAACTGCTCTGGCAAAATCAGGTGGTTTCTAGCCCTCATTTTAGCCAACAGTGAAGATGAAGGGAGGACCCCAGATGAAGACTCTGCATCTTCTACTTTTCCACTAAAATGCTTAGAAACGTTGTCATTTCCATCCTTTGTCATGATGCCATTCTGGAGAAAGAAGATCTATTTAACTTACAGTTTATGTTCCCACTTATTTCCCCAAAGGCTCTGAGGTGCCATAAAATAACACATGCGCCCAGGGCAGGAAGAAGACAGGGAAAGGACAAGATGCTAACACAGAGGGAGAGGAGTCAGGTGTTGAAATCCACCCGCTATTAAAGAACATTTCCTATAAAAACAAAAAACCCCAACTACACTACTCGCCTGCTCACCATTCTGAGGTGAGAATGGGCGGAGGGCCGAGGGATGGGGATAGGCTTCTAGGAGCTCCAGCCAGTACGGGTTCTGCGGGCCTTTCCTGTCCTTCCTCCCAAATCTACCCTCATCTAGGCACTGTGCAATAAGGAACAACATCATAGCTGTACTTCTTTTTCTTAATTTTAAATCTTATTAGTCTTTCCCACTTTATACATCATGTGAGTCTCCTTGAAACAACACAAATCTGTTTTTCACATTCTTACTGATAAAATAACATAACAAGGGAAGTCAAGAAAGGTTCTCTCTTCCTCAATGTGTTGCATTCTAACTAAAATAGGAGTCTGGACCTAGGAGTTTTCAAATTTTATCAGTGACATAACCCTTAATCAGAAAAAAAAAAACAACCGGGGCAAGTGCTGAATGAGAGTCTGGATGAGTACTTGCTCTCAGTGAAGCACGCCCAGCACGCAGGGAGAGACAAAACGGGCGGGGGTGAGGGCTTGGGGGAGCGGCACGCAGGGAGTTACAGGCTGGGTGTGGGGGAGACGGATGTGATGATGTACAGCTAGTAAACTGCCAGCAAGTCAAGGTGGTTTTGGAGACCTTCATGCTAAAGGCTGGTGGTCTGTGGAGGTGGAACCTCATCTCTGGAAAGGGTAGGCTGTATGGGCAGTGACTACACATCACCTATTCCTGTATTAACTTCCTGGGGGTAAACATACTCTGCTGTAGTTCTTGGGTTAAAGACTTTGTCTTTTACAGGGAAACCTAGCCAATTTAGATTTAAATGAAAGTGGTTCATAAATCAGAGCATGTAATATAAATATTAGGTGTCATTAAGCAAGCATTTTCTTCCAAGTTAAATTTTCACAGCAATCCAACCCAGTTGAGCCCCACACAACAAGCACAAGGTTACAATATTACCTGGCATTTCTCCTTTGGAGAAGCAGAAGGATGCTGCACAGGGAAGCTGGAATTCCTTTTCTGACCAAATCTACTCCTAAATAAGGAAGAGAATCACAGTAAATTCAACATTTCCTTTTGTGACTTAGAGACTAAAACACCCGTTCAATGACTAAACTCTTCCTGGAAAAATAGTCTTCGGCAGGGTTATTCTTTCATGACCATGTGCTTCATTCTACCCCCTTCAATCCCTTTACTTTACTCTCCTGGGAAGTAACTGCTGCGTCTGGAGTGAGAACTGCTCAAAATCCTCGTTCAACATATGATGGAAACTGCCCTTAAATGCTAGGTAGGAAAATAATTCTACAGGAGCATATTAACTAGCACAGTAATTATGAACTATTGAAAACTGGCTAATCATCTTATTAAAATTACATGGTCATTCTGTATCTCCTATGATTTTTAGTGACATCATCTCTTAAACAAAACAGATCACTTCTGCCCGTGAAAAATCAGCTTTGGAAAGTAGGCAACGAAGGTGAGGGAGAAAGTAAGATTACAAGTGTACTTCCCCAAATCACACAAATCTGCTGACCAATCTGAGCCTGAGAGATTTCCTACAACTGCAGATCAACAGGAGTATGCATCCACACCTGCCCTGACTTGACTTCCAGCATGGAGGGTTTGGCCTCCATACCAGCATGGTAGCGCCGGCCGCAAGCTCTTACTTCATTCCTGTTGGTGCACCAGAAATCCCCCTGCAGCCAGTCCAGGTGGGAACACCAGACACTGCTCCCAGACACTGCTGACGAGACAGTCTCAGTGCTTTCAGGGCATCCTGGGCCACTCGGCTGGCTTCTGCCTCCACCAGGACATAATCTGGACTGGCTCCATCTATGATGGCATCATGTTTCATGACACTGTGCACACCAACTAGCAACCACAAAGGAAACAGTGAACATGTTACTTCAGTTTGTATGCCATCGTATTTCTTCTGTATAGTCTAGTGTGTTGTGGGTGGAGAAAAATGACGAACGTTTTTAGCTGCTATTTACTGAGTGACTACCATGACCCAGGAGCTTTGCAAATGCTGTTGCCATTCACCTTCATCACAACTGTTTATAAGATAGGAACTATTAACTATCCCTGTTTTATAATAATTAAAGCATAAGGCTTTAATCAGCACAACTACAACATATCTGCCATCTGGAAAATTTTAAAACTTCTATTAATAAATTCTTTACTGAAGTGAAAATATAAAAATAAAAATCAGAATTATAGAATTTCTAAACTGCAATGATCAGGAAAATACTACATATCATAATTTAAAGCAGTTTTTAGTAGAAAATTCACAACCTTAAATACTTGTACCAATAAAAATGAAAGAATAAAAAGGAACTAAATTTTCAGGTCAGTTTTATAAAAGCCAAAAAAACTCACCAAAACACAACAGAAATAAAAGCACAAGGAAGAAAGAAAGAAAGGTAAAAGCAAAAATTAATGAGGTACAGAACAACCATGGATCTAGTTAGTAAATAAAAATCCTGGTTTATTAAAAAAAAAATTAACAAAATAGGCAAACCACTAGCTTAACTTGATTAGAAAAAATATACAAAATTAGAAATGTCAAGAAAGAAAATTATCTTGAAGGAGCAAATTAAAAACAAAATTATTACAAGAGTATTTTCTATGCCTTTATACAAATAAATCTGAAAACTAGATGAAAAAGGTAATTTCTGAAGACAATTGACCAGTAATTATAGAGAAAATGGTGAAAGTTACCGATAAACTACCTTACAAAAAAGCATCAGGCCCAGAAGGTTTCTTTCTGAAACGTCATCCACAGACCTGCCTTTATTGAAGAGAGAACCACAAACTATGATCTTCGTTGAGTCCAGGTCGTCACACTGTGAGCCAGGGACTGCCAAGGCCTGAACAGGGCAATGCTCCCAGGGATGACCAAGCTGTGCGGGGCTGCCTGTCCTGCAGGTCCTAGGCAACTGTTAAGACTACTTTCCTAATTTTTCTCCCTCGACCTTAGCTATTGGCTTTCCTACTTCTAGAGTGCCTGCCTCTGGCCATGCCCCTGCTGTTCTCCCCCATGGCCTGTTACTTTACTGCCCGGGGGCTGGAAAATCAGATAAATATAGCAGACAGAGAAACTTCCTATTAATGTTCAGGTAGTACGAATCTATTTAAAGCATTGCACCCCTCTTGTATGTGGCTATGAGTCACACATGATTATCCTCTGAAAGTTTCAAATTCTTTGTCTTCAGAAAAGAGAGGCAAATCTGATTTTCAAAATGTCAACACATTTTAAATATGAATTTTAGAAGAAATAATAATTCCAGTTGAGAACCCACTCTGCGCTCTCAGTGAAGCTGCTACTACTAGAAACAGCCTACTCGTCTTCTGTTTCTGGCACACCTGTGGCAATTCAAAAAGATTACCTGATTTTTTGAAAAGCTTCTGTAGAACATAGTCGTCATTGCTCTGGTTGTTGGTCTCACTCTTGTTCTCATTGTCCTGCTTCTGGTACCGCCTTTTCTTCACCAGGTGTGGAATTCGAGTTCCCTCAAATTTGGCATCCCTGCGATGCTTAGAGTTCTTAGGCTTTTTCTTCGGCCTCACATGTTTCTCCAGTGTCTCCTCTTCTGCCACAGTGTGTTTTGTTTTTGACTTGTGTTTATAAAAATTATTTTCCATTTGTTTCTTCTCCCAAAGAGGTTCTGTTTGGACCTGGCAGCTTTCTCTTTCATGAGAAAGACCTTGCTTTTCATTGATGCTTTCCTCACCAGATGTCCTGTATATTTTGCTGACTCTTAGAGCATTTGAACAGTCCCCATTTCCACTAATCACTGATGACTCCTCTAGGCTAGACACTGCATTTGTCTCTTCTCCAAGTCTATCACTGCTATTACTAGGTGCTGGAGGGGCATCTTTCAAAGGATCACCTTGATTAGAAGTTACTGCATTTACTTTGGCTCCTATAGCTGTAGATTTCTCTTCAGATGATGTGGCATCATTTGCAGGTGCGTTAGAATTGGGGTGCTCTTTGCATATTGGAACATTATGGTCTGTTCCAAAGGTGAGTTGAAGTTTTTTTTTTAAATGGCATTTGGTTGTCTGAACATCTGAGCCAGTTCCTGTAAAAGGCGGAAACACACTATAGTTACACTGCATGCTTAAGTAACTTACTGTTCTAAGTCAAACCACCTTAGTAGTACCTGCAAAAATAGCACTTGTTTCCGTGCCCTGGCATGCCTCAGGGCTCGTCAGTGTAAACAGCTCGTAAAGATCATTGGGCTTGAAAAATCGCCTTTGCTTTGGATCTTTCAGCACTCTATTTGTCAAAAACTGCTTGAAGATTTGTCTAAAAAGATAAAAATTAAACTGGCATGAAACAACGTTTAGCTGTTACCTCAAAACTGTAATCACAAAGAATACAAGAGAGACATGACAACAGCTGTACGAATGTCTGAATAATCCCCCAAACCCAAAACTTCAGCTTTGGAAAGTTAGAATTCAGGAAGTACATAAAACATTAGGTGGTCTCCCAGGTTTTACAGAATTTAACTTAGAAATAATACCTTATTCTTATTTACACCCAGTGAATTTTTACAACCTCCAAGATTCATCACATTTCAAGGAACAGCTTTTCACATACTCCCGTGTAACTCACAGCCTGAGTTGGACAGAACTGGCCTCCCTGACTCCTAGACCAAGGGCCTCCTGCTCCATGTAGGACCCTTCTGTAATGTGACTCAGGAAATCCTCACCTGGGCTTTGCAAAGTTTCCACATGGAGCCATCCTGCCCAGCTTCCACCTGCGGGGTCACACTCCATGCTAAAGCTTCACACCTTCGGTGTCCCTGAGCAGGTATCTCCACAAAGTAGTCCTGTCCCTTCCCCATTCCCAGGAGCTGATTCTGCAGGCTAATGCATGTGTCTAAGACAAATGCCTCAGAGTACTACCTCCAGCTCTTTCACAAGGTCCGTAAGGAACACAAACCATTGCAGGAGAGGCCCAGTGTATGATGGAAAGCAGGGAGCCTCCCTTTACAAGCTGGTGTGGCTCAAGAAAAGTTTCCAACAGGAGAGGGGAGAAGGTGGCAATATCTCCACTCTACTGTTAAAATTACTCTTGCCCAAACTCCCTAGTCATTGTAGAGAGAGACAGCTTTAGAAACAGGTGTCCTGGTCAATCTCTCTCTAAGAGGCAGCTGAGCCAAAGATCACCAGACCGCCCGACAGAGCACACCCACAGGGTGTGTATAAATACCAAAGGTTACTTCAACTGTGTCGCTTCTTAAAATTTTCTGAAAGAAGATGGCATACTATAGTAGGTAAGAACTCTTCTCTCACAAAATAATATGAAATTTACACATAAGCAGTCCTTGGAATTTAGTAAGGTACAAAAATGATCAGGTTCAAAGACATGTTTTAAAAACTCACAATAAGCCATCTAAGCTTATTTTCATGAGAAAGAAAAGATACAAAAACAAATAAAAAATTTAAAAAAACACACATACCTCTCAAGTCAGAAACTACTGCTTAAGGAGGAAAGACTTTTTTTAAAAGCAATACTTCCCAAAAATTTCCCTGCTCAGAACCTTGGCAGCATACTTCTACATCCTGCACACACCAAAGCCAGGAGCAATCTCCAGTCAAGGAGTGGACAGCCATCTGTACTGACCGGTGGTAAATCTTTTCTTCAATGGTGCCCGCAGTCAGAAGCCTGTACACAGTCACCTGCTTCTTCTGGCCTATCCTCCACGCTCGCTCCCGGGCCTGCAGCAGAGAGGCATCTCAACAAGGGTCCTTCTCAATGACAAGTACTAACTAAAAGAGACAGCTGGTTGCTTCCATCTATTGCCAAAGTTAGAATTTTGGCAAATGAGGCCAAATATACCTGAGGCCTCTTAAGGAAGATAAACAGGTAGGTGACAGAGCCACCTCCACCTAAAAAAGCAATGTGTGTTTGTGACTTTGCACATTTTCTTTTTACCCCAGACCTAGCGATGGATGCTAGGTCTGGAGTAAAAAGATGAATACACTGGTGTGTATGGATCTGCCCATCTGCGATGCTATAGGGTGCCCTCCTCCCTGCCAGGGATGAGGCAACTGCCGATATGCACTATAAGCTGGGGCTAATACAAGCACCACAAGGACACTCCCCAGTGCTGCCAGGGAACCGTATGTCACTAACACACTCCTTCAAAAAAAAAGGAACAGACCTGCGTGTCTGTGCTTGGGTTCCAGTCGGGGTCATAGATGATGACTCTGTTTGCCCCTGTCAGGTTGACTCCTATGCCACCCACCCGAGTGGTCAGAAGAAACACAAATATGGATATGTCCTAGAGGTAAGATGTACAACACTTAGTATGCACATTTACAACTAGTCACATTTACAACTCTTCACCTCTGCCTTTACCTATTCTACACATGGAAAGCTGTTCCGAATGGGAGCAATAGTTTGTCCTAGAGACCTTAAGTCATTCAAGATCCCACCTCACAGCTCCTACCCTGAGTATCAATTGTATTATCAATATTTAAAAGTTGGGTTTTCAAGGAGTACACATTCTTTGCTTAAACAGCCCCATCCCCAATAATCCATAAATGCACAGAGTTAAAAGCAGATTTTCCGTCCACCTGCTGCCCAATCCTAAATGTTAAGTGCTGCTCAGGTAGGTGCAGATACTCTGTGTCCCTTCCCTCTGCAAACACTAATGCTATTTCCCTTTCCTGTTTGTTATATTCACGGGTTACCTCATTGTATCTCGTGATCAGTGGCTGTCGTGAAGCTATTGCAGTGGTACCATCCATCTTGAGATAGGAATACTTTTGGGCTCTCAGGAATACTTCAAGTATGTCCAACATCTGTTTGGGAGAGGGGGTAAGGGATGAGTTTAAAAATCAAATCCACAACTCCAGTGAGTACTTCTACATTTATATAAGTAGTCACACCTTCCCCAACAGGCTTAAATTAAAAAGGTTTCTTGCTTTAAGGTAGATAAATGTAACTACTACAAGAGTATTTTTGGCATTTCTCTACTGTTAATTCTAAAAGTTTCAGAAACAGCAGGACATTTGAGTTCAGACCCAAACTCACCCAAACTGTACCCAAGAATCACATGGTAAGAAGCCTTTTTAAAAAGTCAACTTTGGTGCACCAACTCTAGAGAAAGATCCAAGCTCCCGATGAGATTTGCAGCCTGCCACCTCAGTATCAATGGATTGATTTGCTTTTGGAATCATTATTTTTTTTTTAGATTATATCCCATTTTTTGAATTAATGGTTGTTAAGTCATAAAGAACCAACATTTCTTGTATAAGGTTTATATACTCACCTGTCTTGACTGAGAAAATAGCAATACTCGTTGACCCTGTTTGTGCCATATTTTCAACAAGGACTCAACAACTATCATCTTCCCAGAACGTTTCCAGTATCCAAATTGATCTTCCTCTAATTCATCATCTGGAATACCTTTGAGATTCTTGGGACCCCCAGAAAAGAGGTCAGGGTGGTTGCAGATTTTTCTTAGGGCTACAAGTCCAGAGAAAATCTATGATATAAAAGAATTACATGCATTTGGATTAGCACCATGTAAAATAATACCCATTCAGGAAGGAAGTATGGAGGCCATTTAATAAGTAACAGATTAAAATGTAATTCTTCACCAACTTCTTAGTTTCCTCCCTAATCACAGCTTATTAGGAGCTGGAAGATATCAACCCTCACTCATCTTTTCCTGATAGGAAAAGTTTTCTAGAAACAACAACAAAAAATTTATTGGACCTATGTGTCTACTGGGGTTCTTCTATTCAGTTGCTGATGATTTATTCTCCCTCACTAGAAAAAGAGTATGCAGTTCACAGCACATAAAAACTGACACATCTTTAAAATATAAAGAATTCATTCCCACCTAAATCTGGAGAAACCAGACTTAGAAAATACATTTAAGTCTTACATTTCTAAGTACCTCACTAAAAGTTCTCTAGTTTAATGTATGAGTGACAGGTTGATGTTCCATTTACCTTTACCTTAGTGTATCAGAAAACACATTTGCATGGAAAATACATAAGTGGGGAATATATGAAGGATGGTTCACACAGCAGACCAAGAGTGAGTGCTTGCCCTCCCAGAAAGAGGGCATCTCTCACAGTTTTTGCAGTGTGACTTAAAACAAGCTCACCAGTATAAAAACTCAAACAGAAAAAGAGAAATCATAAATTAAACCAATAAATAAAGTGTATGGTAGTTTTAACTAGTTAAACAGGTAAACATGAAAGATCTGAATAAATTAGGAACACTGTCAAACCCCCCCAAGGAGTCATCAACAATCTTTCTTCCTCTAGATCTGAGTTGTCCAATATAGTAGTAGTCACAAGCCACACATGGCTACTGAGCACAAGAAGTGTAGCTAGTCCCACAAATGTAAAGCACCCAATTTTGAAGATTTAATACAAAAAAAAAGTAAAATACCTCACTAATAATTTTTCAGTTTTAATCATTAGAATATTTAGCTATATCAGTTTAAATAAAATATATCATCAAAGCTGATTTTACCTGTTTTCTTTTTACTTAATACGACTTCTAGAGAATTTTAAATCACATGTGTGACTTACATTCTCTGTCTACTGGATAGTGCTGATCCAGACCACCTAAGCCTTCCCAACTTGGGAGTCACATGAAGGTAAGGGGAGATTTAAGAAAGATAAATTAATATGACTGATTTAAAAACCTCCTACAGATGCCAATGACAGATATGAGAAACTAAGGTGGTTAAAAGAACTGAAATAACTTAATCTGGAAGAAAAAGCATGTAGATGTAATGGGACACAGGCAGCCATGTCACCTGCATTCACCTCTATCTACCTCCATGTAGGACAGGAAGTGTGTACTTCGCAATGTATGGTGCCACTCAACTACACTTCAATGAGGACTGACCAAGGACTAAGTCTTACACGTCAGATAAATAAAAGTTACACTTTAAGATAATGAAGCACAAAAAAGCTGAATAGTTTATATGATGTTTTAGACTAAATGCTGATGATTATAAACCTGCTACATATGCTTATTGAACATTTACCCACATATATTCTGGAGTAATGATAATAACTGTTATTACTTACACAAAAATTTAATAATAATTCTTCCTCCATGAACCTGCTAACAACCCAAGGAGGAGGCCAGGGCTGCTTCTCATCATTCCACATAGGATCAGCTGTCCCTGCAGGACTCACCATTACAGGTCCTGTCAACTTGTGCTACTCTCCCACTAGACCACCCAGTGCTGGGTTCAACTACAATGCTGCTGAGCACAGATAGGAAGGGAGCATGATCAAATTTAATCGTGTTCTCTTACTTCTGGAAGGGCTTCAAATTAAGAAAAGGTTCAAACCCAAATGTTTGAAGAGGGTGGTGGTGAATCCCTGTCTAGTACTAGTTTCCTTTTCTCCTCTGCTGCCCTTGGTCCATATTAAATTCTCTAGCTACCATTATTTAGCTGACCTGCATCTCTCCATTGAGAATTCCATAAACTTCTTTGGAATCAATAAAATTTTGGTAGACTTTATGTTGCTCATCTGTAAGACGGCAAAATAAGACCTGAGTAGAGAGAAAACAGAATTAAAAAAAATTAACAGAATAATTAAAACATTAACAACAACTTTTAAATCAAAATAACATATTGTATGTAATTTTAAAAACATAACCTCTTATTAAAAAACCCAAATAAAAAACCCTCATCTCAAAGCTGAACAAAGAGCAGAGTCCACTCCTCACCAGCCCTCTCCATTTCTGTCATCCATTCAGCTCTTGGTTCCCATCCTACTATCCAACAGTCCTTAAAGGCTGGCTTCCTGCTAATAGACAAGGCAAGTTCAGGACCAAGTGCACAGACCTTTCTTCACCCTGGCTCCCAGGTGCTTGTGTCATCTCACCTCCCATACCTTTGCCCACATTTTACTTTAGCAAACCTGACCAGGAACCTTAACCTCGCCTGGCATATCCCCTTCCTGGAGTTTAAGGACAGGCCCACAAGTTCACCAGACTCACCTGACCACCTCTACCCTCCCAGCCGAAATGCGCCCATTACTCCATGCCATCATGTTCCTGACTTTTTGCCTCTCAACCCTCCTCTCTTTCTCCAAGTCCACTGCCAGCAACTTATGGCTTCACTTTATTCCCTGGCTAGTCATAAACCCAAGGTATCTGCCTTCAGATGCCCCTTCGCCACCAATTGTCTCTAGCCTCTAAATGTCCAAATGAAGATGAACTCTACCACCTGCCTCTCCACTCCTTTACAGGCTGGGTGCTGCTGGAGAACAGCACCCACCCCGGCAGTGTCCTGCCACTGCCTCCACCTGGTCTCCAGGGGCATCCTCTTTGTACTGCCTGCTCAGCACCTTCTGCAAACCCAGAATGGTGGGACAACACTCCTCACTCTCTGCAAGCCACCCACCTCTGTCTTACCGTATACTTAAAAACAATCCAACAAAAACAAACAGCAAAAAGAAACTGAAACTAGCAGGCATGATTCTCTAATTTTCAGGTAATTTCCCTAAAATTTACCTACTTTTTCATCCACCTCACCTCTTCCTCAGAGGAAGAGGGCCTGTATGGGATCCAGGGCAACCCTTTGACTTTTGTACTAGAATATAAAAATCCACCCATCTTTCCCAGAGTGCTTCATATTTTATAAAGGTTCATATTTTATAAAGATTACTCAGGCATCACATAGAAGTATTGCAGGGAAAGAAAATGGAGGTAAGAAGACCCCTTACAGTCTCCAAAACTAAGAGGGAAGCCCTTGAAAGGATTATGTGCAGACCCCATTCCCAGTCTCTCCTGAACCCAGCACAAGGTGCAGCACTTCTGCTGCCCACTGCAATGCTGGCAATGAGGGCACTAATGCCTGCTCAGCTGCCAGACACACTGTCCCGAGGGCCCACACTCACCCTGCCTCTCCACCAGGCCTCCCACCTTCCCAGCTGTTCCTCTTCCTCTTCGCTCTCCTTACATGTTGCAGTTCCCTGGGCTGCTTGTTACTTTCTCATTCCCCAGACTCCCTGGGCAAACTCCTCTCTGATCAGGACTTTAACACCTTTCCTGCCAGCAGGTCACAGCTACATCCCAGCCCAAAACTGCTCAGAGCTCTAGACCCATTTATAACCACCTTTTGGGTAAGCAGGTGTTCCAGGAGCACTTCAAAGAGATACAAAGTAAACTCATCAGCTGTCCCCTCCCAGCCCTCTGTCCTTTTGAAGTATCTGTGGCAGCAGATCCATCCCACCATCTGAGTGAGAAGCTGGAGCATCCCTGGGCCCTTCAGCTTTCCCCTGCCAGCCCCATCCTCTCCTCAGTTCAGGCCCATGTCTTCTCTCTTGAGGAATTTGTAGAGACTCGCTAACTTGTCTTCTTACCTCTATTTTCTTTCCCTGCAATGCTTCCATGTGATGCCTGAGTCATCTTTATAAAATATGAACCTGATGGTTTATCATTCTTAATTTCTCAAGTTTGTATTTCAGTCCTTTAAATACAATGCCAACAAAGAAAAGCCTTTCCTCTCAATCACAAAGTTAACTGTACAGATTACTCACCAGATGCCTAGTGCCTGCATTTTATGGTTCTGGGTGTTACATGGCATTTTAAGACATGTAAGGCAAAGCCCCTACCTCAAGGAGTTTCAGTCTAGTGAGACTCTAGGAGAGCCTAGTTGGATCTTAAGATTTCTCCATGTGTTTCCTGGGGTGAAGGATCCCCCAGGTAAAAGGAGCTTCATATGCAAATAGAAAAACAACTGACACATGTTTGGAAAATAGGAAGGAATTTGCCTTGGCTACTGCATGGAACACAAGAAGAGACATTCTGGGATTCCCTTGCAGAAAAATATATTGATGCAAATAAGCAAATCAGTATTCTTGGGTAGGAGAGGGGCACTGAAGGTTAGTTGGAAGACAAACCTTGGAAAAATTAATCCACAACCCCATGCAATACTGGGTGGAGACCAGTCAGACATCAACAGCACTGATTTATGAGGATGTGAGCAGAGAAGGGATAGAATGAAACAGGACACAGATCACCATCACCACAGCAACTGGCTGATCTAGAATGAGAGATACCTCAGAGCACTGTGGCCTGAGTAGCTGGCAGGAAAGGGAGACCTGTAAGGGCAATGCTAAGACCAAGGGCTAAGTTTGGAGATGAGTTTTGGGAAGGAAGAGGAAGGGATCAAAGTAGCCTTAGTGACAGCTCTCTAGGATCCTTCATGGTTTTACATTCAAAATCTACAATGTGCTTACTTTTGGAATCTCAATAGAAGGCTCACACAATCTATGAAGATAACAGAACATTAGGTCAGAATTTAAGGGGACAATCCTTTTAAAACTAGGTCAGATATCATCATTCCTTTACTCAGTGTCTTCCTATGAATTGCCTACTCACTCAGAGTAAAATCCAAAGGCCCTGGTGATCTGGCCAGCAATCTAAGTTCTTCCTTTGATTGTTCTTCTCCTGGCTCCTGCCCTGCAACCACACAGGCCTCCTTGCTAGTCCTCAAATATACCAACCCATTTCCATATTGTGGGAAGAAGAGCATCCATCAATGTGGAGCACCCACGAGTGCTCTTCCTCCAAAAACCCTGTGAGTCATCCTTTACCTTCTTTGGGTCTCTGCTCAAATGCCAGCTTATCAGAGAGGCCTTCTGTATAAACCCATTTCCCTAAATCCTTGCCCTCAGTACTCCCTATCTCCCCTACCCTGTTCATTTTTTTCTCCACATTATCACCACCTGCCATCTGATATGTTTCTTTATGACTCTGTCTCCCCTCACAAATGAATGTGGGTTCCATGGGAACTAGCATTTGCTGCGTTCACACTATCTCCCAAGAATGTGGTCATCACCTAATATGATTTGCAGCATGAATGAAGTGGGTGCTTGAGGAAAACAGAGAAGTTTAAGAGGAGCTGTAGGAATCAGTACGTTAACAAGAGGGCGATCAAATCCTCTGGACTAGAAGGGAAATCCAGCTGAGGGTAAAAGCCACAGCAGGATCACCTGTCACACACAGATGTAGAGTTAGACCAGCCTGCCCCACAGCACGAGCGACCACACCTGTTAGACTCATCAATTCCACATGTGAAAAGCAGAGTAAATGGAGAGGTATACCCATGCTTTTGGAATGGTTGGTAACTCCTGAATTTACAGACCTGTTCATTCTTATCTGGCAAAGAAAGGCTCATTTTGACATCTGACTTCATCCTCCGCAGCAGGTATGGATTTATGGTATCTCGTAAGACACATGCACACTTATAAGCAGTTTTAACCTTTAGTAAGAGAAAAGGGGAAACAGTTACTATATTTAAAGAGTGCCACCGTTCTTAGCTCTCAACTGACTCCAGTGCTTAAAAAAGAAATTTAAAAAAGAATGACAAATGGCTGTACAAAACTGGTTGGAAATGGTTGGCAAAATTTAGTGTTAAGTTCCATATACTTTAGGAGGTGGTAGCTTTGAAAGTATCATCTTTAAAAAAACTTATTACTCAAAATGTACAAAAAATGACAGATAATTTTGTGCCCTCTTCCTCTTCTATACTTTGCTTTAATTATTATATGGTTAAACTCTAAAGAAGGGAGTTGGTTCTCCACCACCCTTTAGGGAAAAAACTACTTTCAAATTAATCTGTTTTATAATCTTGTATTCTCCAAAGCTACAAAGGAACCACTACTCTGCAAGACTCAAGATCAAAAGCTAACTTTAGGGGGAAAGCTGCAGCAATAAGAGTACCCAGATAATAAGCAGATTACTGCTCACTGGAGACTTAGGAGAGTAAGTTCAAGAAAAGCCCTATGATCCCAGAAATGAAAGGTCACTCTAGCCTAAAATGGGGCATATGGCTCTGTAATGGAGCAGAGTCACATGAGATGGGTATTAACTGTACACAAACAAAGACCCACACGCAGGAAACCACTCCCTCTGCAATTCACTTAGAGGCAAAAAAAGAATTCAATAAATTATTGATACTTAAAATCTTAATAGGCTTAATAACCCAGTAAATTACTACTTAATAGAACACAACAAATTTCAAAGTTTACATTTAAGAAAGTTAGCTGCAAAATGAATGAAAATGTGAAGAGCTTGACCATAACAAATACAGAAAAATCATGTTTAAAAAAAACTAACACAGTAGAAAACATTTTAAAAGACCTTAAGAACACCTCCCTCAAGTATGTATAATATATGTACATGTATGTGTGTTTATCTTGTATGTAAGTGTATAAATATAAAAAAACAGGTTTTACAAATAGCGGACAGTTAACAAGGAAGCTCAATTGATCAACAACTTAGTTATAAGTAACCCTGTAAATGTAACATTCAGACATTGATTAAAAAATACCTTTAAGATGATGATCAGGTACATATTATGGTTTGTAATGCAAAGATGAATAAATTCATGCAAAGACGAACAAATTTCAGAATTTAACAAGACATTACAGTCCCACTGAAGAAGTACACTGTTGAAATTCTTCCTAAAAATATACACAGTGTAGTCAGGAAACTGTCCCTGCATCCCCATCTTTACCCACATTTCTTTCCTCCAAAGGAATGAGCAAGCTGGTTGACGATGCTGGAAAACCAAGGTTGGGCTGGTGAGTGGCCCGGCCTCTTGCTCTCATTCTCTCTCCTGCCTGTCCACTCCTCTGGACAGCCCCCTGCCACACTGCTCCTGGCCCACTGTAATGAACTCACAAGGGTCAGAGCTAAAGTGGCTGGGTATGGGGTCTACTTTTCACACCCAACTCTCGCCAGAGTTAAGTAATCTTAAACTCTGGACTGGGGTAGGGAAGGGAAAGCAGGGATGATGAAGAAACCCTATTTTAGCCTTGACATTGAGCCACATTCCCCAGTCCAACTTCCCTAGGGAATCCTGTGCTTCAGGCAATACAGCTGATTCTATATTCAACTGCATCTGTCTCTAGTGTCCGTTTCTGTGAGTAAAAACAGATGGTGGGGATCCAACTATATTTCTCTCTCACTCCCAACTCCCAGGTGCCCTGGGAAATGGATACCCCATGCTTCCTTCTTATTTCTGACAAGGTGGATGATAATTACTCCCCAGGTCTGCCTCTTCCAGAGCTGAGTGACCTTAGGCAATCACCAAACCAATGAGGGTCAATAACCTTGAACATGAAATGAGGAGGTTCACTAGGTAACTCATCAGGTTCTTTTCAGTTCCACAAGCCCCTGTATAAGTTTAACATACAGATTCAAGAAGCAGTCCATATTTTGGGCAGTTAATGATCCTCCCCGCACCTCCCTCAGTTTTTTAGGTCCCAGCAGTCATCACTTCCCCAGGAAGGCTTCCTTGACTCCCACAATCTCTGGTATCAGGTATCTCCCCTGATCATAGTCCTCACTATCCTACACTGTGATCATCTGTTTATCACTTTCCCCACTGAGAAACGCCCTACTGGACTGAGGATACTAGTCAAGGGAAGGTTCTGGTTGACAGCTACCTCCCATCATTTAAGCCCCAGCCGGACACAATAAATATCTGCTGACATGCTATCTTCTTGGGATTCAACCATGGATTTAAGTTTATGGCACCCACAGATTTAAGCAAAAAAGAGCAAATAAAAACAACACCTCTGCTCCCAAAGGCCTTATAATCTAAAAAAAAGAAAAAGAAGTACATAAACTTCTGAAACATGGACTTCAAGGAAGAAACGGACCGTATTTACATGGTCTCAAAGTCTCTCCCAGCAAATGACTTACTAATTCCCAAGGAGAAGTAGTAATTTCGAAGTTTAGAAATCTGACTAACACCACCTTACCCAAGTAATCAGACCATCATCAGTTAACACCATCAACATAGGGATGAGCCAGCAGCATGTGCCTCCAGATAGGAAATACTGAGAAAGACAAGTGACTTCTGTGATATTCTTGCCAAAAATGTATAACCCAAATCCAGTTATGAATAATGGAAGACAAACCCAAAGTGAGGCACACTCTACAAAATAACGGGCCTGTAGTCTTCAAAAATGCCAAGCCCATGAAATTCAAAACAAAGGTTAGAGGAACTATTCCAGATTAAAGGAGACTGAAGAGACATGGAAACTACTGAAACAAATGGCAAAATGTGAATGACTATAGATAACAGAATTTTATCAACGTTAAGTTTCCTCCTGATTTTGATGTTTGTTCTGTGATTATGTAAGATAATGTCCTCATCTTCTCAAAGACACACTTTAGTATCTAGAGGAAAGGGGCATCATGTCTGCAACTTGCTCTCAGATGATTCAGAAAATAAATAGTCTTTACGTTTGCAACATGTAGAGAGGTGGGAGAGAGGGAGGTAAGGAAAAATAAGGCAAATGGGGCAAAATGTTAGCAAAATGCTAACAAATGGTGAATCTGGGTGAAGAGTAGATAGGAGTTTTACAATTCCTGCAACTTTGTTAAGTTTGGTATTATTTCAAAATAAAAAGTTTAAAAAAGTGGGATAAACAAAGGACAAAAAGAAATCAGTTGAGCAAGAGAGTGCTTACGAAAGTTAATTAAAAATCACTCCGCCTCAAAACGTAAAGGGCATTAAAGTGGTATTTGATGGTTCTCTAATTTTAAAGGTCTAAAATTCTTTTTCTAATTAAATATTTCAAAACACGTGGAGTCTCTTTTGGTAGAAGGCTTTGTCACGACATGGCAGGTACAAGCCCTCCTGAGGGCTGTGCAGAGACCCTGCCTCTCAGAGACAGGAACTTGCCCCAGATGCCACAAACTGCCCTCAGGCTGGTCTTACTTTCTCATGTTCCTGTTTGTGACAACCCCATTCTACCAGTCACCCACACCTAAAACCTCAGGGGTTAGATGCAGCAAGCTCACCTTCCTACACCCCATTTCCTTTATCTTGTTAGCCCTCACATTTAGTTTGTTCTGTCTAAAAAAAATGCCACTTGAGGCTCTTGCTCCACACCTTCTTCCTCAGAACCACCGCCCAAGTCCTGGTCGGGGTCCTCATCACCCTCATCCCCAATGACTCCTGCAGGTCCCTCAGTGCCAGCCTCCCTCCTCTAACCACCTGCAGCCTGACTAACGCTCTGACAGCAGTCTTCTTCCAGACTCTTGCTCAGACTCCCTCATTGGTTCTGCCGTGCCTGAGCACCTCTGCCTCCCTTTCAAGGCCTCCATTTTCGGCATCCACACCTTGTCCACTACTCTCCCACCAGCACCTGGGGTCCAATCAAGCATGTCTCTTCACTGCCCATGCCCACATAACGTAGCTTCATTCTTAACATTCTTAACTGCTGCCCTAACCTAGGGTGTCACTTTTCTCAGCCTGTTTCCCCAGAATCAGGTTAAGGGATACATGTTTCATTGTCTTCCCTAAACAATTCAATCCTTCCTGGTTTCCCCTTTTCTAAGTTTTTATACTACCTTATCAAAGGCATTACCCCAGTATGCAGTAAATTATATGCTCTCCAGAACTGATTCACTCATTTCTTAATTTACGACTGCTTTTGAATATTTCATATTTTTTAAAACTGATCTGGAAAAACATAAGCTATTAAGTAAAAATAATTCTATGATTTTTATCAGATACCAATTTATACGCCTGGTCATTTCCCTTATATTCTGAATGACTTGGCTACAAAGCACAGTATTTGGGGGGGGGAAACACTTACTTTTAATATTAAAATGCTAGAAGAATTATCTGCTTACTACATTACCTGTACTGGGGAGGCATTTGAATATCCCCCCATGGTGATGGGGACTGAGAACTGCTCCATAAACACTGGCAATGTGCCTAATTTCCCTGGAAAGATAAAGTCAAAGAGCGACCACAGCTCGCGGAGGTTATTTTGCATCGGTGAGCCAGACAAGATGATGCGATGTGGGGTGCGGAACTATGTGGGGGGAAAAAATATTTTTTATTAAATTCACCTTTTAACAGATGACCACCAACCCTACCCCAAAATATTCCCACACAATCTTGTTATCTAACACATTTATGTTGTTTTGGTGTTCTCCAAAATGTAGACATTCTATGTAATTTTAACTCTTCAATTACATATAAATAAAACAGGAAGTAATTTTTCTTATTGTTCAAATGAATATTATGCATTAAACTTGGAATTTGTTATGTTCTAACAACTGATCTCTACAAGAGATGTTAAGCACTGTGAACAAATCAGAATTTCAAAAAGCATGATTAAAAGCAAAAACAAAGAATTTTCTACATGAAGGCAAAACATGTACCTTAAATTCCTTATGCAAAAGCACAAGCAAAGACTCCAGGGCATTATTAAAACTGTGTTATGAAGGAGAGGGATTCAAGATGGCAGCGTGAGAGGTGAGAGAGAATTCCTCCCAAAACCACATGTAGTGTGAAAATATAGTTAATACAACAAGCCCTAAAACAGCAACAGAAAAGAAGGCTGCACCAGACTGCATACAGACCTCACAAACAGAGCAGACCTCACGAAACAGGGTAACGTACGAAAGCCTTGATCCGGCGGGACCCAAGCCCTTTTCCCACCTCAGCTCACTGGCAGGAGGAAGAGAAACAAAGCGGGAAGGGGGTGGAAGCCTAGGATTGCTGAACACCCAGCCCTGGAAGTCTGCTTTGGACCAAAGACCTACATTGTATAGTGCTCTGGAGGTTGCTGGGGTTGGGGAGCTGGAACAGGAAGATTGCTTGAAAGATTGAGATTTGGCTGTTTGTGGAGGATGGGGATCCACATCGGGCCACTCTGGGACAAAGGAAAGTCGGGCAATCTGACAGGCTTTCTGGCAGTGAGAGGGCTGCTGAAGGGGTGGGATTTGCAAAGAGCTTGCTAAGTGGGAGAAGGGACAGGTGGACAATTTTGTCTGGGTACACTCTGACCAGCAGGTTGGGGACTTTGAGGAGATTCAGGAGCCCCATCTCCCTGGCTGCCTACTCAGCTCCAAGGCCTCCCACTGTGAAACACAGCCTGCTGCACCTTCCTCCTGGCCTGCAGCACCTGCTCGCAAACCGGCAGTCACTGCAATGGCATCAGGCCAGCCAGAAGGAGGCCCGCCTAAAACAGCTAGAGACACAAAACAGAGAGGCTTACACTTGTGTGCTCAGACCACTGGCTCTGATACTGGAGACAGGCACTGCAGCCGGGAATCAGGAAATAGCTCTTTCCTACCTGCAGGCACCAGTGCCACTCCCCTATGACTTCCAACCTCACTCTAGGGGCTAAGCGGCTCCAGAGACTACAGCTTCAGGGCACTAGAGGGTACCACATAGAATTGTGAAACATCAAAGGTACCTGGTTCAGATCAAAATTTCACAAACCCCAGAAAAAGGGCCAAATGAAACTCAACTCACCAATCTTCCTGAAAGAGAGTTTAAAATAAAAATCATAAACATGCTCATGGAGGTACAGAAAAATATTCAAGAACTCAGGGACAAATTTAAGATGGAGTTTCAAACATTTAAGAAATTCTCTATCTGAAATAAAACACAGAATGGAGGGATTTAAAAGCAGATTAGATGTAGTAGAAGAGAAGGTACATGGAATAGAAATTAGAGAAAAGGAATACAAAGAAGCTGAGGCACAGAGAGAAAAAAGGATCTCTAAGAATGAAAGAATATTGAGAGAACTATGACCAATCCAAACGGAACAATATCCACATTATAGGGGTACCAGAAGAAGAAGAGAGAGAGAAAAAGGGATAGAAAGTGTCACTGAGGAGGTAATTGCTGAAATGGGGAAGGAGATAGTTTCTCAGGCCATGGAAGTATATAGATCTCCCAACACAAGGGACCCACGGAAGACAACATCAAGACATATAATAACTAAAATGGCAAAGATTAAGGATAAAGACAGACTTTTAAAAGCAGCTAGAGAGAGAAAAAAGATCAGATACAAAGAAAAACCCATCAGGCTATCATCAGGTTTCTCAACAGAAACCTTACAGGCCAGAAGGGAGTGAGTGGCATGATGTATTTAATGCAATGAAGCAGAAGGGCCTAGAAACAAAAATACTCTACCTGGCAAGGTTATCATTTAAATTTGAGAGAGGGATTAAACAATTTTCAGATAAGCAAAAGCTGAGAGAATTTACCTCCCACAAACCACCTCTACAGTACATTTTGGAGGAACTGCTATAGATGGAAGTATTCCTAAGGCTAAACAGATGTCACCAGGGGAAATAAAACCACAGCAAAGTAGAACAATTAATTACTAAGCAGATGCAAAATCAAATCAACTACCCACAAAGTCAATCAAGGGATAGACATAGAGTACAGAATATGATATGTAACATATGAAGAATGGAAGAGGAAGAAAAAGCAGGAAAAAAAAGAACCTTTAGGTTGTTTGTAATAGCACATGAAATGAGTTAAATTAGACTGTTAGATAGTAAGGGAATTACCGTAGAATCTTTGGTAACCATAAATCTAAAGCCTGCAATGGCAATAAGTACATACCTATTGATAATCATCCTAAATGTAAATGGTCCAAATGCACCAATCAACAGACAAGTAGTCAATGAATGGATAAAAAAATAACATCTGTCTATATGCTGCCTACAAGAGACTCACTAAACACCCAAAGACATACACAGACTGAAAGAAGAAGGGATGGAAAAAGATATTTCATGCAACTAATAGGGTGAAAAAAGCAGGAGTTGCAGTACTTGTATCAGACAAAAGACCTCAAAACAAAGAAAGTAACAAGAGACAAAGAAGGACATTACATAATGATAAAAGGGTCAGTCCAACAAGAGGACATAACTATTATAAATATCTATGCACCCAACACAGGATCACCCATATATGTGAAACAAATACTAACAGAATTAAAGGGGGAAATAGAATGTAATGCATTCATTTTAGGAGACTTCAACGTAACACTCACTACAAAGGACAGATCAACCAGAAAGAAAAAAACAGACAGAGGCACTGAACAAAGTATTAGAACAGGTGGACCTAACGGACATTTACAGAACACTTCATCCAAAAGCAACAGGATACACATACTTCTCATGTGCACATGGAACATTTTCAAGAATAGATCATATACTAGTCCACAAAAAGAGCCTCAGTAAATTCAAAAAGATTGAAATTGTACCAACCAGCTTCTCAGATCACAAAGGTATGAAAAATAGAAATAAATTACACAAAAAAACAAAAAAGCCCTAAACACATGGAGGCTTAATAACATGCTCCTAAATAATCAATGGATCAATGACCAAATAAAAAAAGAGATCAAGCAATATATGGAGACAAATGACAACAATAATTCAACACTGCAACACCTGTGGAACACAGCAAAGGCCGTGCATCTCCATAGATGCTGAAAAATCATTCGAAAAAATTCAACATCCATTCATGATAAAAACTCTCAACAAATGGGTATAGTACCTCATTGAGGGCAAGTACCTCCACATAATATATTGCAACACAGGCCTACCTCAGGAAAGAAGAACAATCCTAAATGAACAGTCTAAACTTACAATTAACGAAACTAGAAAAGGAAGAACAAATGAAGCTCAAAGTCAGTAGAAGGAGGGACATAATAAAGAGTAGAGCAGAAATAAATAAAATCGAGAAGAATAAAACAACACAAAGAATCAATGAAAGCAGGAGTTAGTTCTTTGAGAAAATAAACAAAGCAGATAAACTCCTTGCCAAACTTATCAAGAAGAAACAGAGTCTAAACACATAAACAGAATCAGAAATGAGAAAGGAAAAATTACTATGGACACCACAGAAATACAAAGGATTATGAGAGAATACTATGAAAAATTACATGGTAACAAACGGGTTAACCTAGAAGAAATGGACAACTTTCGAGAAAAATACAACCTTCCAAGGCTGACCCAAGAAGAAACAGAAAATCTGAATAGACCAATTACCAGCAAGGAAATTGAATTGGTAATCAAAAATCTACCTAAGAACAAAATCCCTAGACCAGATAGTTTCACCACTGAATTTTATCAAACATTTAGTGAAGACCTAATACACATCCTCCTTTAAATTTTCCAAAAAGTGGAAGAGGAGAGAGTATTTCCAAACTCCTTCTATGAGGCCAACATCACTCTAATACCAAAACCAGGCAAATACACCACTAAAAAAGAAAATTACAGAACAATATCCCTGATGAACATAGATGCAAAAATACTCAACAAAACAGTAGTAAACTGAATTCAAAAATACATCAAAAAGATCATCCTTCATGAACAAGTGGGATTCATCCCAGGGATATAAGGATGGTACAACATTCGAAAATCCATCAACATCATCCACCACATCAACAAAAAGGAGGACAAAAACCACATGATCATCTCCATAGATGCTGAAAAATCATTCGAAAAAATTCAACATCCATTCATGATAAAAACTCTCAACAAATGGGTATAGTACCTCATTGAGGGCAAGTACCTCCACATATTAAAGGCCATATATGACAAACCCACAGCCAACATTATACTTAAGAGTGAGAAGCTGAAAGCTTTTCCTTTAAGATCGGGAACAAGACAAGGATGTCCACTCTCCCCACTTTTATTCAACATAGTTCTGGAGGTCCTAGCCACAGCAATCAGACAACACAAAGAAATATAAGGCATCCAGATTGGTAAGGAAGAAGTCAAACTGTCCCTGTTCGCAGATATGATATTGTACATAAAAACCCTAAAGAATCCACTCCAAAACTACTAGATTTAATATCTGAATTTAGCAAAGTTGCAGGATACAAAATTGATACACAGAAATCAGTGACATTCCTATACACTAAAAATGAACTAGCACAAAGAGAAATCAGGAAAACAATTCCATTCTCAATTGCATCAAAAAGAATAAAATACCTAGGAATAAACCTAACTAAGGAAGTGAAAGACCTATACTCTGAAAACCTCATGACGCTCATGAGAGAAATTAAAGAAGATACCAATAAATGGAAACACATGCCATGCTCATGGATAGGAAGAATTAATATTGTCATAATGGCGATCCTGCCTAAGGCAATCTACAGATTCAATACAATCCCTATCAAAATACCAACAGCATTCTTCAATGAACTAGAGCAAATCGTTCTAAAATTCATATGGACTCACAAAAGACCCTGAATAGCCAAAGCAATCCTGAGAAGGAAGAATAAAGCAGGGGAATTATGCTCCCTGACTTAAAGCTCTACTACAAAGCCACAGTAATAAAGACAATTTGGTACTGGCACAAGAAGAGACCCATAGATCAATGGAACAGACTAGAGAGCCCAGATATAAACTCAAGCATATATGGTTAATTCATATATGATAAAGGAGCCATGGGTATACAATGGGCAAGTGACAGCCTCTGCAACAGCTGGTGTTGGCAAAACTGGACAGCTACATGTAAGAGAATGAGACTGGATTATTGTCTAACCCCATACACAAAAGTAAACTCAAAACAGATCAAAGACCTGAATATAAGTCATGAAACCATAAAACTCTTGGAAAAAATCATAGGCAAAAATCTCTTAGACATAAACATGAGCAACCTCTTCATGAACGTATCTCCCCAGGCAAGGGAAACAAAAGCAAAAATGAACAAGTGGGACTATATCAAACTAAGAAACATCTGTACAGCAAGGACACTATCAGTAGAACAAAAAGACATCCTACAGTATGGGAGAATATATTCATAAGTGACATATCTGATAAGGGTTGACATCCAAAATATATAAATAGCTCACGCACCTCATCAAAAAAACGCAAATAAGCCAATTAAAAAATGACTTTAAAAAAAGGCAAATAAGCCAAATGAAAAATGGGCAGAGGATCTGAACAGACACTTCTCCAAAGAAGAAATTTAGATGGCCAACAGGCACATGAAAAGATGCTCCACATCATTAATCATCAGAAAAATGCAAATTAAAACCACAATGAGATATCACCTCATACCAGTTAGGATGGCCACCATCCAAAAGACAAAAAACAAATGTTGGTGAGGATGTGGAGAAAGGGGAACCCTCCTACACTGCTGGTGGGAATGCAAATTACTTCAACCACTGTAGAAAGCAGTATGGAGGTTCTTCAAAAATCTCAAAATAGAAATACCATTCGACCCAGGAATTCCACTGCTAGGAATTTACCCTAAGAATGCAGGAGCCCAGTTTGAAGAAGACATATGCACCCCTATGTTTATCGCAGCACTATTTACAATAGCCAAGAAATGGAAACAACCTAAGTGTCCATCAGTAGATGAACAGATAAAGAAGATGTGGTATATATACACAATGGAATATTATTCAGCCATAAGAAGAAGAAAAATCCTACCATCTGCAACAACATGGATGGAGCTAGAGGGTATTACGCTCAGTGAAATAAGCCAGGTGGAGAAAGACAAGTATCAAATGATTTCTCTCATCTGTGCAGCGTAAGAACAAAGCAAAAACTGAAGGAACAAAACAGCAGCAGAATCACAGAACCCAAGAATGGACTAACATTACCAAAGGGAAAGGGATTGGGGAGGATGGGTGGGAAGGGAGGGATAAGGGCGAAAAAGGGGCATTACAATTAGCACATACAATGTAGTGGGGGGGGGGGGACACGGGGAAGGCAGTATAACACAGAGAAGAGAAGCAGTGATTCTATAGCATCTTACTATGCTGATGGACAGTGACTGTAATGGGGTATGTGGTGGGGACTTGATAATAGGGGGAGTCTAGTAACCATAATGTTGTTCATGTAATTGTACTTTAATGATAGGAAAAAAATAGTGTGTTACTAAAAGTGTATCATTAAAAGCAGGAAATTCATTCTCAATTAAATACTATTATCCACCTGGAAATTCCCTTTATAAGAGGCCATACCTGTTTGCAAGCAAGGGTCACAGCAGCATTTGGATTTCGAATTTTGTGTCCTTCATCCAAGATCACATAGTGCCAGTCATGCCTGCTAATATCATCTTGCATCAATCGAATGTAGGAGTAAGAAGTGATTAAAATTCCATGACAGTGAGCAATATCTCGAATTAGTTTCTCCTAAAATGATGATAAAGTGGTAAAGCCGGTTTTAAATATGAAATTAAATTAAATGAGCATGACTCTTAAAATTACAACCTTTTAATCATGATGCAATCTAGCAAACTTTATAAAATATGCATACAAACACAACACATTCAATTATGATTACATATTATTAGCACTGGAAGTTTACTTTATGTCTCATTAATCTGTAAGTAGTAAACACTGACTAATATATCCACTATTAAGGAGGGGGAGGGTGGCTCAAAGAAGACCAGAAAAAGTTTTAACATGTAAACACTTACCCAATTTTTATTTTTCCAAAACATCCTTTGTGTCAATCCTTGTTAAATTTAAAACAACAATGTACACGGAAAGTGATTCATTATTTTAAAACAAAAGAAAGAAAAATGAGAGAAAAGCCAGGGAGACAAAAAGACAAATCCAGGACCTCTAATAATGTAGAACAACATGAATTCCAGGAGGACAGTAGAAAGGATATTAAAAAATGATTTTTAAAATGATAGAAAAAAAATTCTGAGAGACTTGAGTCTAAGAGAACAAAACATCCTAGAGTATCAGGCAGAAACACTGGTATGCACAGAAAACTAGGTATATACCTAGGCATATACCTACTAAATGTCTGAATTCCAAAAATAAAGGGAATAAAGAGAAAATGCTGTAGCTTCCAGTAAGAACAAAACAGAAAAAAACAAAACAAAAGATTCTCTTCAGGGGAAAAAGACTCTACCTACATTGGATATCTTTTCTGAAGCACTAAACAACAACAGAAAGCGAAGGGAGACTCTTTCCATAATTCTAAGGGGAAAACAATGATTCTGGAACTCTGCACTGATCTAAGCTAGCAGACATGCTTGACAGAAAAAATAAATTCCACCTTCAGACAGGCAAGGACAGAAAATAAGCCAGCAAGAGATGGGCAAGGTACAGTATGCCATACCCACCCAGTGCAGGAGTTCGGTCACTAAAGACAAAAGGAACTGGACAGAAAAGAGGGATATTTTATATTTTAAAGGAGACAACACATTAAGAAAGAAGAGCCAAACCTCTGCCTACCAAGAAGCACTGCAGCAAAGGGCCAAGGCAAGCCCCTAGAGTTGACAAAGTTGAACCTACAGCCTGCAGGGGACCTGACCACAGCCTCTAAGTTTGACAGGTCAGAAGAGAGAGAGTTAAGTTAAAGGAAACAAGAGTTTAAAAATTAGGATATAAAGGATCTAAGTAGCCCCTTTGGTGAGCAGCTTTCAATAGTTATCAGCAGAGCTTCAGACCACACAAAGATCACTCATTCTTCACACTCTACCAAGGCTGAAATCAAACCAAACAGCCAATGTAATCTGTTAAAAAAAGAAAATCAGAGACTAAGATAAAAACAAAACTTAGTGAATCTTAAGAAAAAACCTGGTAGAACTGATAAAGCAAAAACCTAAATAACTCTTTGAAAAGACCAAACAAAACAGACAAACCTCTGAAAAGTCAGCCCAAAGAACGGCTCAGACACACAGCCTGAGAGCTGTCAAAGGTGCGCAACTGCAGATGAAAGTACAAGGGCCAGTCACTGCCATCTGCCATCTAACGCCAACACACTGAGCATTCTGACAGAGGACCACTGTTAAAAGGGCAAACTACCAAAAGGACCCAAGAAAATGAGATAAACTGACCAATGACACAAACAAACCAATACTGAAGAACTTGCAAAAGATGTTAAGCTTTTCCCCCAAAAGTCTACCTGACCCAAAGGGTGTGTCATAAAAGTACAAATTAATCCCACTACTCGAACTGCTCCAAAGTTACAGAAAAAGAGAGAATGCATTCCATATCATTTTATAAGGCTAGCAAAACCCTGTATTCAAAAACAACAGACACAATACACTTCTACATGTGTGTAGAACCTCCCTGACAAGAGACCCACTATTTTCTAAGTGAAATCTAGCAATATATTAACCTAGTAAGGCTTATCACAGGAATATAGGAATAGCTAAGTATTAGGAAACCTAACACAATAATTCATGCAATCACAGTCATACAAATGTTTACAAATTTAACATCTTCGAAAATGACAGTAGTATAACCTTAATAAACTAGGATTAGAGTATTTTTTAATTCAATGGAGTACAAAAGGGTGCAACAAGGACCAATAACACTCCTGAAGAGAAAAATAATGACTGAGAAACCGCCTTCTCATGTTGTAACACACTCAAACCTTCAGAGTTAATAAAACGCCTTAGAGAAGAACTACAATACCTGGTGTCTGGTAAAGGTCAGCCAAGTGAGAGCTGCACTATTATTATGACTACTATCTTACCATGTTCCTATTCACCACTGTCAATGCCTGTATAATACTACATTGGCAGCCACACCTGATTTCACCATTTCCAGACTTTTCACCTTATGATGAATTGCAGCAGTCAGTCATCAGGGCCCACAGCCTTACAAACACGCATGCAGTTTCTCTCAGAGGGCAACACCGTCCACTTCTCCCTTTCTACACTGCTACTTCATCGCCTTGGCCCTGCCACAGCTGCTAGTGCCCAGTGAGGAAAAGCAGGCTGTCCAAAGATACACTGCTCTACCTTGAGTGCCTCTTCCACAAGACCTGCGACTTTCAGAAGCCAGAGCTAATCTCTATAGTTTCTCCACATCTGGATTTTCCACTGGGATTCTGAGCAGGTAGCTATCCCAGCCCTGCTCCCATTTCCTCTTCATGAGAGCAGTGACTGCTAGAAGTCACAAAGCAGGTAGGGCAAGAAACAACAGCAAACTGAAACCCAGCAACGCTCCATGCCCAATTCTACTCCAGGCCCAGAGCTGTGAGTGTGCACACAGAGAAAACAACTACAATTGTTTGGGGCTTGAGATATAGCAGTAGTTTAATTACCACCCACATTTATAAAATGTCCACTGGATCACAGCCAAACCCTTCAAATGTGGGTCCGCTTGTTCATGACCCTGGATGCACAGACTTGCCACAGTCAATCCATTAACCTCCAATTAATGCCACCCAGAGTAGATTCTGGACATTACTTTACCATAGTTATACAAAAAAGATGCCAAGCCTCTCAAATACATGCCACTGGAATGATGTTTAACTTCTTCTTGTTTAAAGATTGAAGTTTATTTGGAAAATACTGTGATGTTACCTAGAGAAATACAGCATTTCTACCATATTCAGAAAGATGTACAATGATAAAAAGAATCAACACTTCCATAAAAAAAGAAATTTTTTTTAATGTCACCATTGAAAATAAAACCTCCAGTTAGCCACTGGGTATGAACACATCTAAGACTATTTGTTATCACCTAACTCAAACCCAGAATTCTGGAAGTGCCTAGACTAGAGTCTCAGTGATGGTGAAATGCTGAATATTATGGACGTCTCTATCCAAACACTTAAGACAAATCATCTCGGGCGGTTTCAAATTAAAAGCTTGTAAAATATGTAACCTCTCCTAGTTTTTGCAATTAATAGGGTACATCTGCAATTAGCCTGACTTACTGAATGCAGTGTTGTCATTAAAAGATGTCTGTGAAAGTGCTGCTGTTATTACGGAGGCTCAGGAGACCAATCCCTCCTAGAGGGCAAACAGTGGACTGGTAGAAAACAACAGCCATAAATCACACTGTCAGGCAGCGGGGAGAGCAGAATGGAGCATAGGCACATGAAGGCCATTCACAGTAAACACAGCACGGCAGCTTCCCAGGCAGGATTACTGCACCTGTAATTAATTAAAATTTCCTTCAAGCTAAATCTTTAATAAACAAGGATTTGTGCTGACAGTGAAGAAAAAAAGGGCCCCGGCAAAATAATTTTACAATATACCTCACAGAACAAGCAGAGCATCTATCATTTCTTCTATCAGGTGTATACCTCATCTCTAAAGTTAATGGGAATTACATCACTTTCCGTTATAATTTGTGTACCTGGAATGGGTCTGAAATATTTAGGAAGCTTTAGGGACTATGTGGCCCTTTTCCACCTTTATTTGTTATGTTTTTATTTGACTCCCTTCCAGCTTTTTAAGAAGTCAAGTCTTTTTACTCTAGTGTTTCAGAATATGGGCCTTTTTTAAAGAACATGATGGTCATCTTGTCAGACGATCATGTTTTTGTGTGGTTTATTCCTTAATCAACACTTTGTATTTCCCAAAAAGAATTTTAGCATTTTATTTCTTTGTTTCCACTTGGGGGTCAAATGTATCTGGACATGAGAAAAAAAAAGTCTCAAAGTGAATGACCATGAATATTTTTGATAAAGCAGGTGTGAACTTTCTATCTAGATGTATTTATATTGAATCAATCAGAAAAGTAGAGCATTTTTTCTCAACTACTGAAATAAAGAGGTCTATAAAATACTTTGTTTCTAATACTAAAAATTACTTGAGTAAATGTTACATGTCAGGAACCACATTAAGCTTTCTATGCACACATATAAACCCAACAAATCTTCACAAAATTACCAAAGGACACCCATTTTTCAGGAAATCAAACTAGGCTCAGAGAAGCTACGTGACATGACCAATATCAGAAAACAATACAATGGCAGATCCAAGGTTCAAACCCTGGTCTGGTTAATTACAAAATCTATGCTTTTAAACCTTTATGCCATTGTTACACTTCCCACTCTTATGCCTCTAAATGCCATGAACTAATAATCAAAATGTGATAAAATTCTTTGAATTATCTAAGATTCCATAGAATTACTATACCCTACATAGCAGAAAAAGGTGGAGGAGGTACAAGGTAACAACTTAAGAATATAAGCAAGAAATTTCTCATTACACATCTTCCAACAAATTGAAAAAAAAAAAAGGTCCTTGATAGTTACATAAACTTACAACACACCACTAAACATGCCACCTCCTACTGTAAATTATGGAATAAGTATCACAAAACTGCCTTCTTTTAATATCCTTTCATGTATTTCCTTTTCCCAAGAAAATTGTTAGCTTTTCAAGGTCAGTTAAAACATTGTATCCTTTTTTGGAGCTCAAACAGCATGGAATACCTGCATTATTATGTTTTACAGTTACTCAAGAACCAAATATTAATTGACACACATATCAAGTTTCTCTGTTAGAAAAAAAAGGGATCACAAAAAATAAAAAAAGAAAAATCTTGGTTTCCTATTAAAAGACCATAAAAGGAGATTCAGAAGCCTGAAAATCTCTTTATTTGATCTGATCATTTGGTTGAACACATTAGCCACCTATTTTTTTGCATGGTTGCTGGGTGTGCATTTGTTAATTCTAAATATGCTATCAAAGAGATTATTAACAAAGATAATGTAGGATCAGAGGAAGAGAGGTAAAAGCTAAAAGGCACTTTAGGGAAGAATGATAAATGTGCTCCACTCAGAAACTGTTTGATCGTTTGATATCTGTTCTCTAAATGAAAATTTTTCAAAATTTTCAAAATATTATGTCATACCAGCTCCAACAAATTATTAGGAAAATAAAGATAATCTACTTGAATGATAAGAACAATCCTGGCATTATTACTCTTTCAAGTTCTCTAAAGAAAAAATATCTTCCTTATTTTCTACAGCACTTAATGTCCCTATGTCAGAGTACCACTATTATATTTAGAAAGGACAACAAGTGGGTAACATAAAATTCCCCCATGGAAGAAAGGAATCTCAGCTGACAAGAATGGAAAAGAGTCAGACATTAGATGCTGGTTAGAGGCCAGATAATCATGCACAGAGTATTTGAAATATGATTAGAAATGTAAACTCTATTGCAATCTAATATATCTGTGAGTCAACAGGTGTGCATAGGGTAGTGACAAAGATCTACACAAATACAAAATGAGAAAGCAAAGGGGTCAGATGACACTTTAGTATTTGATTCAGAAGCCAGAGATCTGATCTTGGAAGTGTTACTAAAAAGGACTGTGCAAAAGAATGAACAGTTTCAGTGTGTCATCATTACAAACAATAAACTGATATTAACATTAATAATAAACAAGTAGTAAGTTAATTGTGCTTCTAAGTTGACAGCATGGTTTGAAAGATGGAAAAGAACATCTTTTTGTTCTTTTACATTAGAGATCTGAGATATTTTATAATGGAAAAGGAACTATAAAAAGAGTTAAAGGTCAGAGTACAAACATTCAATCTACTTCTTTTCCTCAAAAGTTAAGAAACTTCAAGTTAAAGTCCTTGGTAAATTATAAAGCACTAAAATAATTATGAACAACCACATGTATGCATGTGTTTGTCCATGCAAAACAACCTCAGAAGGTGGTATCACTGCAAACAAAAATAAAAAGCTATTCTTTAAAGTTTTGCCTTCCAAACAAGTTAAGGAAGCAGGTCTCACCAACAGAGACACTGACCAATGTCAAATCTAGTTCTATTAATGTGTGAACATATTTTATTTAGATGAAGATAGTTCTTCAGGTTATACTAACAGAGGACTGCAGGTAAGCCATGATATAGGAGGTGTGAACTTCACTAGCTCAGAAGAAAAAAAAACAATAAAGAGGAACATATGAATATTTGCCTTTTAAAGATAAACACCAACTAATGAATCCTGCTATAGGATTTTGTAATACAAAACACTAAGAGATGTCAAAAGACAACAGAGGTGAAAAAAGGAATAAAAATGTTCTACAAGGTAATAACAGTTTCAACTATTTAGTTTGACTAGTAAAACAACCTAAACTTATTTTCATGCTGCTAAAAATCACTGTTTTTTTCTTTTGTTTCATTTTGTTTTAGTTTTGATCACAGCATTTAGCCTCTAAGTATTTTAACTCAGTTTGTTTTCCATTTATTCTTCAAAATTCAGGGCAAAGGCAGTTAGCTTTAACAACAGCTAGTTTAAGCAAGACTTTATTCTTACCAAACTTCAGCTACCAAATTATAGATACTCCTGAATCATGTCTATCAAGAGTTCTGCTTACTCATGATCCTGAACAAAATGGGAATTTGGAGAGAGAGAGGTACTGACAAAATTAAAGAGACACTGTGGAGTTCCGTGGCTGATGTGTGTCTATCTAGGTGAGGCAAACATTCCTGTGCTCTTTTATGGGCACTGCTCCCAGGGGTACACTAGAGCTCATTCATGAGCCCCGAAGACTCAGGAAAGAATGAACTCATAACCACTTCTTATCAATAAAGTAACCGGCAAACCCACAGTGAAAATGTGTAATTATTAATCTATCCAGCAAATGCTAATAGGGCACCTGGGATACAAAAATAACGAAGACACAGTCCCTACTCTACAAAGCTTACAGTCTAGATAGCAAGGCAGAGATAAGAAAAAAAAAAAAAGCATAACATGATCTATCTATGCTATCCACAGGAGCATAGATAAACCTCCTTTTTGATAATGTGGTGAAAACTATGAGTAAGTGAGGAAATGCACTTTCAAAACACAGCGATTATCCTTACACAATGATCAAGGATTCAGAGAACAAAAAGCAACAACTAAAAACGACAGTACAAATTTTAAAATTCTCAAACTGGAAGGTTGTTCTTTTGTTCATTAAACATAGTTAAAGAGATGTTAACAAATGCATTTATCAGTTACATTATATTTTATACCCATTTTCCTAAAACTGCTCCACCACCCCTGACTGATAGTTTCACTCATGCTGTCAGCCTTGTGATGCCTGTACCCAGCTGTGCTTCACTGGACAGCCAACATGTCTCAACACCACTACGAATCACGCTCATAATTGTTTTGAAAAGCCACAGTTCTAAATCAAATCAGTAACAGTAAATTAAAGTGCATGAAAGAAACACAGGAACCTACATTAGAGAAATACTCAAAGAAAAAAGAAATAGGTAAAATGGAGGGCTTCAAAGCAAAACAAAAAGGTTCTAAAATACTGTAATGTTACCTTTCTGTGGTTATAGGAGCCAGTCTCGTGTAGAATCGCTACTCTGAATGGAGGCCACCATGTATGAAATTCCTTCACCCACTGATGCATCACTGTTGTCGGACAGACAATTATAGCAGGACCCAACCCCTCGAACCTGCACCCAAAATGTCCAAGAAAACACAACCATGAATGATAGTGCATGGATCATCAACTGCCAAAAAACAGAAAAGAAATAAAAGCTTAAGAATTCAAAAAAGAAAATCCTAGCTATGAAAATTTGGTATTTTCTTTAAAGAAAAAGCTATTGAGGTTAAAACCAGGTAAGTGAAATCCTTATGATCCAATTCATCTGTTATTAATTTCACTAACTAAGGGAATACATTAAAAAGATGTAATACATTAAAAGACAAAATCTATAGTAAAGTAAAACAAAGTTACATAACAAAAATACTGCTCTTTCCTCTTCTATTCCAGATTAGTGAAGGTATTATACAGTGTATCTTAATCTAGCTGAACATGAGTATCTTAAATTTGTTTGAAATTTTAGAGTCTACGAAGAATCTTCATCCACATAATTTCAATCAATTTCATAGTACAGAAATGCTCCAGTATTCAGAGGCTCTGAGGCTGGCTCACTCAAGGCGACATGGTTACCGGGAGGGGGAGCACCTGACTCAGCACCTGCCCTTCCACTGCAGCAGGCTGCTCTGTTTCTTCATGGGATAAGCAACAGGCAGGCAAGCATCATGGTGACCATTCCCACTTAAGAGCCTCTTAAGTGCAGTAGGCTGCACTGTTCTTGCGGAAAGCAGCTGAGCACCACATAGCAAGAGCCATGACAAAGGAATTCATTGACCTGGCAATCCCAAATAAACATTTATGTATGGGGATACACCTGTAGCACTGTTTACACTGTGCAAAAAATGGGTGCTACCTGTCCATAAATAAGAGAAGTGTTGAATAAACCTTCTTTAGAAATCCTATTTCTTTAATCCAGCACAGGTTAGTGTGTTAGAAGCACTGCCTGGGCCTGAATCCCAGCTCTGCACACACTACCTTTGTGATCTTGAGCATATTATTTAACCCCTCCGAAAGTCAGCTTCTCTTCTTAAAATGGAAATAATAGTACTGATCATACAGGGTTATATGAAGATTGAATCAGTTAATACCTGTAAAGTATTTAGAATAGTGCCAGAGGAAATACTGTAAGGGTTTACATAAGCTGGAATACCATACAACCATTAAGGTTGTTTTAGAAGAATATTTAAAAACCTAGAAAATGCCATTAATGTGCTTTAAAAAAATTATTTATGGAATCACCCCAATTAACTTACACATAGGCAGCCAGTAGACTGGTCATGGCCACTATGTCAACACCCATTTATCTTCTCCTCTCCTTCCTTCCTGATGGAACCACAATATTGTGTTGGTATCCCTTCTTCCTTCCCTGACATGTACTTGACCATTGTCTTGCTATGACAAAGTAAGGAGAACCAGGAATCCTGGTTCATCTATGGCCTGTCAGCACGGTACTCCTCTGGCAATGCTCACTAGTCCACTAAGGGGCCTGGGAAGACTGGCTCACTCCGTGTAAGAAAGGACTTACATTCTAGATCGGGGGATAGTTTTCTCTCCTGGTCTCTCCTTTCGCATGTGAACAAGGGAACAGCCCGATGGCTGCTCAGCAGTTGGTAACAATGCAAGGAGATCTAAGATCACACAAGAACTGGCCTTAGGAGAAAATGGAAGTTCCTGGGTCCCTGATGCCATCCCTGAGCTGCTGATCAGCTGTGTCTGCAGCCCACACTCTCTGTACTTCTCTACGTGCATCAAACATATTATGAACATTTAACCCAATCTGAAACCAGGATTTATTTACCTGCAGTCAAAATATACTGATACCATCAAAATATATTGTATACCATCCTGCCCTCCTCCCCTCCTGTTCCAATGAAACAGGGGTCCCTTTTCTTGCCTGTACCCAATCTCTTTACCTGTACTTACAAGCCCACCACCCACATCAACCTCCCATTCCTGTAGCTGCTTCAGCTTCAGTCTGGCAAGGAGTCAGGTGCTGTTATCAGTGCACAAGATGAATGGTAAACAGAAGTTGAACTAACGATGGGAATCACCTCAACATTCGGCTCACACTCAGCTTGCACGACAGGAGGCAACTGGGAGTCAAGACTGACTGAGGGCAGTGGAGACCCACACGGCCCACCTCTCACTCTGAGCAGAGTCAGCAGTACTTGTTAAACTGTCATTTCCCCCTCCCTACCTTTTCTGCCAACGAAGATGTTGAGTATCTGAAGCTAGATGCACACTGCACACATCTCCCCAAGCTATCTTAATAATTCCAATAGTTTCAGTCATGCACTCTTCACTGATACTGCCAAATCTAGGTCTCCAGCCCAGATCTCTTTCCTGAACTCCAAAGTACCATATGCTTAAGTGTCTAACTGCTGGCTGACATCTCCACTGAGATGTACCCACAGAACCACACATTACCTTCCCCCAACCTTGCCTTCCTCCCACATTTCCTAATCTAATGACAAGAACTGTCACCCATTCTGCAGGCAACCAAATTGGAAATTCAGGCCACATCCTTGGTCTGCCCCTTTTGTTCTCCACTGTGTCCAACTAAATCGAGTTTATGTTATATCCACCTCCTAAATCCCTCTCAAAATCATCCTCTCTCTCCATCTTCACTGTTTTAACTCCAGTTCTGGCCAGTCACCTCTAACCTGGGTTACCACACTTTCTAGCATGATCATTTCAAAAACGCCAAGTCTGAATGTCTGGTAGCCTTTTAATGTTTGCACACTGCTCCTGGGACAGTCTGGACACTTCACCTGGCCTATGAGACCACAAGGATCTGACCTCTGCCCACTTCTTCAGCCTCTCTCGCTGCCCCCACCCCAACACTTGCCCCTATGGCTCAGCACCCCACTGGCCAATGCTGCATCTAGTCCCTGTCCTTTTCCCTCCAGATGGGTTAAGGACCCTTCCTCAGTGCACCCGCACTAGTTAGACCCCCATACTAACCCCATCGAAACACGTACAACCCTTATTGTAACTGTGTTAGATCCTTCCTAAGCAATTTGAGGGCAGGGAGCCACTTGTTCAAATTATCTCAATGCCCAGACTGTAGGAGGTAATGAATATGGCTTTATTAAGTGAAACATTTTTTAAAGATTGGAAGGAAATACAGTTGATCCTTAAACAATGCTGGAGGGATTAGGGGTACCAATCCCCTCTTGCAGTTGAAAATAAGCTTGTAACTTTTGATTCCCCCAAAACTTAACTAATAGCCTAACTACTAAACAGAACAGAAGCCTTACCAATAATATAAACAGTTGATTAACATATATTTTGTATGTTATATTCTGTATATGGTATTCTTACAATAAAGTAAGCTAGAGAAAATAAAGTTTTTTCAAATCGTTGAAAATCTCCAAAAAAATTTCCAATACACTTACTGTAAAAAAATGCACATATAAGTGGGCCTGTGAAGTTCAAAATCAAGTTATTCAAGGATGAACTATGTATTGATATGTTAAAAGAGATTATTTCTGAATTGGGGGATCATGGGTGATTTTTATTTTCTTGCTACAGCTCAATAAATGATGCCTGAACTTAAAAAAAAAAATTTCACATAATGCTTGAAATATTAAAAATAATTCTCTGCACAACTGAAAAATACCTTGTCATTCTAATATAAGTATCACTGCTAACTTATGTGAGGTTTATCCTTGTACTCCAATGTAGCAAAATGCCTCCACCCACTTCTACATCCTCTCAACCTCCAGGCAGAGGTTGCCCTTTCCCTTCTGCTCCATAGAAAGGGCTCACACTACAGAAGCCTGAGGCTGCAACAGACTCTGACAGGCCCTGCAGAATGCCCAAGCCACGCTCTGCTCCTCACCAACAGCAGGTCCATGCAGGTGCTCCCTCAAGATCCCAGGAGAGAGCATGATGCTGCCCTGGCCCTCTCCATGATAATATTCCTTTCTAAAGGATTAAATGCACCAGCTTCTTTATATCCTCCAAGGGAAATAAAAGAGTTATCATTAATATGCACTTAGCAGGAATTAGAAAATATCCAATCAAGACCTGTCTAAAATATTCTTAAAAAACTCACTTTCAAATAAGGATAAATGAATACATACATACATATATATATGCTTTTTTAGGTTATACACCATTTTTCTCTCTTCTTAGAACATGCTTTCCACCAACTGCTACACTGATCACTCACACTTTGTCATTTAAGGTCCATATTTTATTCTGGCTCACCATCTATCTGGCATTATTACACCCTTTAATTTCTGCCATTCTCATTCTGTTAGAAGTCTATGGAGGTTTTCAAACTGAGTGGAAATCTAAGAGCAGACCTAGATTGTTCCTGAACCACAAGAAGGGGGAATCAAATCCATTAAAGTCACATCAATGAACCACCCTTCTCCAACCCTCAATACCAGTGAGATGAACATAAGAAATGGCTACATGTACTAAAGTGATTAGCATCAATTACCAAACTGGCTACAATTCCTTTCATCTTTGATTATTATTGATTACCTAATGAGTGTAGGATAAGCCAGTATCTCCATGGTCAAACATTTCAACCTGCAGAATGGAAATCTACTCATATACTTAGAATTTACCAGGAATCACAAAGTAAAATATTTACTTTTAAAAGCTGATTAGCTTTTTCAGGCCATTTATTGTTGTCTAGGAATATACTAAATGACATCTAAGACTTTAAAGTATTAACTGAAGTTTGAAAAGCAAATAATTTATTTCCTCTCCATCATAAAAATTCAAGGGGCCATCATAATATGAATGGCAAAGTGAAAAGAAGGTGGTGTATACATTCTGAATTGGGAACACAACCACCATAGATTTTTATTAACCACATGTAACATGCTTCTTCCTCTTTTTAAAACACACACACATACAAAGCACATTAAAAAAACAAAACCAAAAAAGCTTCTTTTACTATGAAGCTTCTTGGTACCCCAGAGACTTTCACTGTTTCAGCGATCATGGAACTTAAAATTACAACAAGCTCAAATTGGGCCCCAAAAGTCTACAGCTTGGAAGAGTTCAGAGGAACTGCACATGGCCAATGAAGAATGCCAGCTCATGCACTTAACTGACAATTCATTTGGCTATTTTTTGTTAGGACATAAACATGGAGGAGAGTTCCAGGATCATCTAGTTTCAGAGGAGGACATGTTATAAATCTGTGAGGAGATGTTACACAATTTGCTCTGGCACATGGAAGTGGAAGGGACAGAGCTCCTCAGTACACCTCTGTTCATAAAGAGCCCAGTTGTTTGACTGATATATAACAGCATTCTGGGAAACCACTTCTACCAATACTATTTTAATAGAAATGATCTGGGCTATAGTCCAATATGCCACACTATTTCATTATGGAAAAGAGGATCTGAGCATTGATAGTTAATTGATTATAGCTGCTATTCATTATTAGTCCTGACTTCACTCCTAGTAGGATTGTCACCACTCTAGAGAGCATGTTTTAATTTTTAAATCAAAACTACACTGCAGGGATGACTTTATACATTTCCTAGGCCCAGAGTATTAGACTCTACACAAGTTTAATGATAACAGGAAGGGAAGGGAAGAAAAGAGATGGGAAATAAGAAAATCACAGAAATCATTTAAGGAAGGTAAGACAGTCCTCGAAACCATCTGGGGCAGCTTGGGGCACTCTAGTTATCCAAAAAACAAAAACAAACTACAACAAAAAGAAACACAAAAGAGTTGCAGAGCCAAGTCAACCAAAGAGCTTATTTAGAACAGAGAAAACATTTTTAAAATGCTGAACTGAGGACACTAATAGATAAGAAAACACAAAATGCCTGTTTTTAACTTTGACATTTCCCTTGTGCTGGAATGTTTTCATGTGTTTCCATGCAAAAATAACAGAACTCTAATATTTGAAAAAAAACATCTGCTTCAATACAATTTGTTTGTAATAACAACAAAACAGAGTATTTAAAAATCTCCAGATGTTTTTCTGCTTCCTACGTCTTATATAAATATTTCTAAAATATCTTAAAACTTCAAACACTCCTCATGAGAAGTACTGATCTGCTAAATTAATGAGAGTAAGAAATAAAAACCAAGTAATAAATGTTGAGGATAAAAAAATAAACAAACCAAAACAAAAAAACAGTTCTTTACTCAATAGTTTATGGTTTGTATTTGTTTCTCTATTAAGCATTTCTCTGCTGATGAACCAGAGTGTATGTAGGACAGTAACTTTCTGCAGTAGCTAACTTCCAGCACACTGATACTATTTGAAATATGTCTCCAAATGCTATCTAGTGAGGGCCTTAGTTTCTACACCATAGCCATCTGGTAAATATCTTGCTGTTACTCATTAGATAAGCCTATTGAAATCCAAGGAGTTCTTGGATTATCTGGGTTCAGGATTAAATATCCTAAACAATTTACCTAGCGATATTTTTACCAATGCTGATTTATATAAAGTCAATTTATAGCTTAATATGGAAATGTTCACTGTATTTCACGATTAAATATTCCAGTCCTACAATACTGAACTCACACAGTTTAAATGCTTATTCTTTTAGAATATGAAGCTTTAATGGTTTAACTTCCTAAAGAGAATAAGGATTACAATCTAAACATAGCTTTCTATCAGTTTAGACAGTCACCTAGGCTTTGACTTCAGAATTTACATACAGTTCTTAAAGACTGGTAGAGGGGGTAGAAAGCATAGTGAACAAACAAGTAACTCCATTTAAAAAAAAAGCACTATCTATAAATGCTATCATGCATACTGATTATAAAAGAAATTTGGGAGAATAGCTTCACCAAAGCTCCAACTTTCCCCATGAATACATTCTGTATTTACTGTAATACTCACATGGTCTCCTGCCAGAACAAATATTTTAATGTAAAATTTAATAAGTGGAACTAAAGGTATTATGTCCAATTTAAAATTCCATATTGTGTAAACTATTGATATTAACATAATTGAGTTTGTAAACAATCCATTTGCAGATGCTAACCTTAGACACTGTATTGACCCAAAATATCTAGTGGGGCTCATCTGCAAAATGAAGCATCAATGCCTGGAATTCATTAAAAGTGTTACATGTTTAATTTCTCCTGCCCTACAGCTCCATTGTCTCGTAAAAATTTTCCTTTGATGTCCCCCTCTAAAAGAATTAAAGGAATATTGTAATTGAAATGTCATCAATAATTCACAAGACCCTCCTCCACAGCAATACATCTGATGAAATATTAATTGAGCTCTACAGACTGACAGTCTGCAGAGGAGCACTTGCCTGTAATTTGAACCACGAGTCCTGATCTTACTGTAGCTCAGACCTGCCAAGAAGGCAATTATCTGGATGGTCTTGCCCAATCCCATTTCATCTCCCAGAATTCCTCCTGCCTGCTGGCAGTGCAATTCCCACAGCCACCTAACACCTGTCTGCTGGTACCTACAACAGACACCAACAAGAAAAAGAAAATGGCAAATGGTGGATAATACAGATCATAACAGAAAGTACTCATGAATTAATCATTTGGCTAGGTCTTCTAGTACCAAGCAGAGAAACATGCCGGATGTGTGTTTTACATTGTTTTACATGAGTATTATATTTATAAGGTCATACATTTTTGATTATCTAGGCATAAAATCACAAATTTTTCTTTATAGAATGTTAACACATTTCTAATTAGACTGATAGATGGGGTGATTAGCAACTATTTCATTTCCTTTTCAGGATCAGGAACAGCTTGGTAAATAAGCATAAATTTATTACCTTTTATTCAATATCTCTCTGGAAAAAAATACCAAATTTTTTAGTTAAAGTTGCAATAATTTTTCTATGAAAGAGGCATTAATATTTACTTTTTCAATATGAACAGCATCAAAAGGCAGGACAAAGAACACCATAATTCATAGCATACACTGTTGAAAAGTCACTTGAAAATCATACTGTCTTTTTATAGGAAAAATTAAATTTTAAGGCATAAACAAGTCTGAATAATAGGGCTGCTCACAAAATTAGTATGTAACAGATGATTCTGTCATATTACCAGCAGCTGCAAAAAAGAACCATTTAAATACTCAACAATACAAAAGATCTTTTTAATATTTTAAAGCAGAACTTGAATCAGAGACTTTACCATAGATACAAAAAGATCAGAGCTATTAAAATTTTAAATAAAGGAGTACGGTCAAAAAGAAATATATTTCCCTCTAAAAAAAAAGTTGGTATTTTCCTTTCTTCATCAATGACACATTTAATCTATAATCTAAAAATGGAGTTAAGAAAAGGAATAATGCAAAAAGCATTTTTGAGAGTAAAAGAAAGATTTAACATCATGAAACAATTTGAAGCGTATATGCCAAATAAAAAAGTATCTAAAGCAAACAATACTTATGTTAAAAGACAATGAAATCTAAATGACTGTTTTCCCAAGAAAATACCAAGGCTAATGCATTTCCCACTTTAAAAGGCGGTTTTACAGTTGTTTTACTGCCCCAACGGTTACTCTTTGGTACATGGTATGTCTACTACAGTCTCATTGTGGACTTCAGTCCTTGTGGAACTAGTTCTAATTTCCTTTCAGTAAATATGTCATAACTTTCCCCCAGTATTTTGCAAATCAATTCCAAAAGTCTGGCTCTAGCTGTTGCCATTATTATCTATCATAATAAGGAAACCTTTGAATGAGAATTTTGCTGCTAATTAAGTTTGCTAATTATAATATGTACACTGAATATGCACCCTGAAGAAGATTAAAAAAAGCGAAATACAATGAAGTCTAGTATGGACAGAAGATCATTTTCTTGGAAGAAAGGTAAGTTCTACTAACATGTGGTACCTAACAAGATAATAATTGCTACCAACTACTTAAGGGACCTCCTACTGAGGAGGCAGCTGCACAGGTGATTTGGATATAGCCTCACAACCACCCTGCACGAAGATTATTATCAGCCCATTTTATAGTTAGGAAACTAAGGCACAGAGAGGTTAAGTAACTTGCCTAAGGTCACACACGTCTAGCAAAAAATGAGCAAGCCAGAATTAAAAGCTGGAACCTTTGATTCCAAAGTGATTCCACTTTGGAGATAATCCTGACCAGTGGTTCTCAAAGGGGGGTTAGTTTGCTCCCTATGGGACATTTGGCAATACCTAGAGACATTTTTGTTTGTTACAACTGGAAGAGTGCAATTGTTCACCAGAACAGTCCCTACAACAAATTATTATTCAGCCCAGTTGTGCTAAGAAATGAGAAACTCTAACCTAGGAAAAAGGCTGGCTGTCAAGTAGCTACACTCATCTCAGCTGTGGATAAAGATGTTGTCCAAAAAGCTCCTCAAAAAACGGACATACAGTCAGAACCACTAATCTCGTCCATACACCTCCTTTACAGGAGTACAGAACTAAGAGACCAGTTCCTCCAAGCAGAGGAGGGACGAAAATCTCCCCATGATCATTTCAGTGTGTGACCACTACACCACATTGCTCCCACCCAACATGGGTCCAACACCTCTCTGTTTGAGGCCAATCAGATTAAAATGGGAAGAACCTGGAGAGTAGCCATTGAGAAACCATGAAATAAAAGGAATAAAAAATGGTGACCAGTATAGTATCCCAGAGGGAGTTTGGGAAGGAGCTGGGACATCTGGATTCTAAGTGATGAGAAGAAGCACTAACAGTGTGCTGGGTGTTTCCTTGTCAACAAATGTCATTTCCAAGGGCATTCAAATGGCATATGATTGTATATTTATTACATGATGATTAACACTGAAGAAATGACTTATGGAAAAATATCTACTAGGCAACACTGTAAGTAAGTCACATCACTACATGGAAACCCCCAGCAAATAGAGACATTGTACAAAGATGGCAGAGTACCAACATGATGGTTCTATGTCCTGATGGATGAAGAGTTAGGGGGCCTGGGTTCTGGTTTTAGCAGTGCCATTGACTGACTTTGTTTTTGTTGCTGTTATTTCCTAATAATAAACACTGTAAAACAATTATATTCTTTAAATGAAAGCAGATTATAAAATCCAGTTTTCAGAACCTTTGAGAAATTATTCTTTAGTGGAAGTTAAAAAGATTTTTACAAACTACCGTACAATAGTAAAGAAATCACCATACTCTGCTTCCCCCATGAGATTGAAGCATCACAAAATAACCACAGATAATTAGTATATCTTGGCAATGTCACAGTAACCCAAGATTGCATTTGCTAATGTGGCTAAAGTAAGGTCAAAAGATTGAAGCTGTCATTTGACTGCTAAATTATACAGATGAATGCATTTGCTGGGCAAACTTTCAAAACAGAATTTTAAAACTTAAACATTATCTTGCAGAAAAAGCACTTAAATGGATAATTGTACCTTCTGATTCCCCTGTGTACAACTCTACCCTGTTAATTTAATTCCATAGAGTGCGGGAAATACAATAAAAATATATCTACAGCTTAAAATTAAATTGGCCTGGCTAAAACTTAATCGTAAAAGAAAAATGGAAACTCTATCAATCCTATTAAGTTTTTTTCATACAGCAGAAGACAAGGAACAGAAGTTTTTTTTAACATTCATGAAATATTTAAAATCCTGTGTGTAACAAATGAAAACAACAAAATACTTTCCAGGAATGTGCATTTAAGACTAATTAAAACAAACATGTATTTACATTAACTATTATAGGGTTAACAGTCAATACACTGAATCCTATATATTCTTTGTAAGCAAAGTTTGGTTCTATTAGCTGTGAAATTTCTTTGCTAGAAAAATCTCACTTTCATACAAAAAGGTATATTCAATTTGACCCTTGAGGGTATCTGTCAAATCACTTACTACACATGTAGAAGTATCATTCTTTGTTAAATCAATTTAATCTATAATTTGGGTATTACTTTTGCTAGAACAACACTGATTCTATTTGGCCTGTTCCTTGATAAGCATTCACTTTACGGAAGATGAAAATAGTTGCCAATGTTATCTTTATTTATCTTTCCACAGTTAATTTTCATTTGGGAGAAGCAATAAATAAAGTAGCCACCTCTCCAGGCTATGATTTGTCTGCAAAAATTACTGGAGAGATTCATATCTGAACTCCTACATAGTTTTTCTGTACAGTTATAGCAACCCAACCAAGACACTTCACACCTTTAGGATTCAGCTTTCCTATGTATTTAGTGGGATAAAATAACTACGCTCCCCCTTTTACCCACCCTCACATAGAAAAAAATTTAAACTATAATACATAAGCAATTTGAGAGGAAATATAAAAGCATGCTACTTTTAAATAGAGAACTAGCACAAGTTTAGGGCATCACTGACAGCTGAATCTATGAATGAGATTAAACATAATCTTCTCAAAGAAAGAAGTCTGCATCCTGCACCCAACTATCTAGTAAGGATACCAGACAGAAAAGGGCTCATTAATGGTTTATCTTCCTATATGCATCAAAGAAGCCTTCCTAAAGTATCTTGTTAAGTAAATCCCAGGAGTGATGAGACTGAAAATGGGCCTCAGTATTTGCATTCAGCACAGTAGACCTGCTCAGGCCATGTAAGCTACAGGATTGTCATCTATCACACGGCATCCAGGTATCTTTAACACTTGGCCACATAACGTGTGAAACACAGTTTCAAATGGCAACTTAATCCTGAAGTTGTTTTTGCCTGTATCTTCTCTTTTGACATTAGAACATACATAAAATATTTAGATACACATTTGGTCATCTACAAAGCATTATACCCTTAGGTACAATATAAGACACTCAGAAAATAATCTCAATTTCTTATTTCAACATAGAGGTAAAACACCTCCCCGATACTGATTTTAATATACAACTCTTCTTAATTAATCTGATTAAAGAAATTAGAGGTTTGGTCCCTCAAAATTACTAAGAACAAAAAAATAACTTGATATAGATGACTTTTAAATGTGTAGCTTTTAGTCTGCTGAGACAGGTCCATATAGATTCATCAGTGTACAAACATACCCAATGCACACTTTCGTCAATTTATTATCATCTAATTTTAATGAACAGCATATGGCTAAAATTTCATGTGACAGTATCTGTATTTGCAATAAATTGCTGTGAGTACCTCAAGGGGCCACAGGTAACTACTATGTAATTCCTAAAATATTAATTTGTACACAATAGATGGATGACAGATATAAAGGAAAGGACACATGGCACATACTTAAAAAGCTTTTTGAATAGAAAACCTGGCATTCTAAAATCTTCATCAAATTCAGCATCACTTTCCTCAGAATCATCTTCAAGCTTCACACACTTCTCTTTGTCTTCCAGTCTCAGTTTATTCCATCTCCTACCATGAAAATAAAAATTGTTTCCATTATTTTGGTTACAAGACAAATTAAAGCATAGTTCTAAATAATGCACAGGAAAAAAACAGGCAAATTAGGATGGTCTTTTAGCTTTCTGCTGCCATTATTATCCAAACCACTGATATTCAAAGAAGGAAAACAATTCTTTATTCCTTCTTACTCAATTCTTATTTGAATTATTATAGCTTCTCTAAAAATATTTTTGTAAGGTCCCATTTCATTATCAAAACTACTTGCTCTTCTTCTGGTATACCTTATGGGAAAATTTCTCTGCTAGTTCCTAAGACATATGTACTTAATTCTAGAAAAGATTCAGTGAGATTTCAATATAACTATTTCTAAAACAACAATATAACAAAAAATATTTTATTTAAAATTACTATTACTGTGTTAAAGATATGATAGTCATGTCATAAACCAGCACAGTGTCTTAAACATAGAGCAAATTTTTGGTCAAAATTGCTATGTATCAGATTCATATACTGATTACTTATTGGAAGGAGGCATCAATAATATCAAAGTACTGATAATTATACTATTTAGAAAAAATGTGTTCACTAATTAAAACCTGTTATAAATTTAGTAATATGATGCTCTTCAGATACAAAATAAGAGGAATATTTATATTTCAGAAGGTGTTGCCATGTAAGTATAACAGAAAAAATACCTAAAAAAGTTGAAAGTCTTAGCAATACACCAAGGATGCTGGGAGGCTGCAGTCATGTAAGCAGACTATTTTTGCATCCCTGTAACTCTAGTGGACCCTAGTGTCATGAGTTTAAAAAGTTAATAGCCTCACATTCTATTCACTTTCCAAAAAATAGGATGACTTTTCTCAGCATACATGCAACCAACACACTAAATTTCATAAAATGGTGGAAACAGAATAAAGCAATAATACAGATAAATGCTTTCAAAGCAAAAAACTCACAGAAAGGGAATGAGAATAGCAACATATACAAGACATTTATCTGCTACTGACTCTGCAGGAATAAAGAGAATGTGTGAGGGCAGGTAAAGGAGAAAATGGAATGATAATATTGCAGACACTGCTCAGCTAGAGGAATGGTATGGTTTCTAGTACCAATTACCAAGCCAATAGCAGAGGCCAAACACAACAGTGATAGGCAACCCCATCCTTTAGCTGCTGTATGACCTTAAAGCACATGCTGATAAACTCTTGGCCTTGCTGAAAATTTCAACTCTTCAAAGTAATAGAAGGAAGACCTAGCTGGGGTTTAACTGTGATCAATAATGAAGAGCTAGTTGGTAATCTGAAACTGCTTCTCGTGGTACTAACAGAACCTATAAATAGGCATTGGTGGTAATTTACAGAGAAAAAGAGCAAATGGAAGAGGCAGTATATAGCCAAGTCTAAGGAAACAGCTATTTAAATGTAACAGTCTTTTTATATAGAAAATTTAATGACCTTTTGTGCTTAACTTCTAAAAGCAATCTCTTCCTCTCTTTTATTTTTATTTTTCTTCCTTAAAAATTTCCTCCATGCAATTGATGAAATGAAATACCTCTAAGTGGCTATAATAGTCTTTGCTATTCTTCTGAGTTTCATATTGCCTACAAATCTAGCTAAGTGCAATGGTATACAGCAGTAGTTCTCAACCTGAGGCAATTTGGCCATTTGTCCCCCTGTGCCTGCCACTGGGGTAATTTGACAATGTCTAGTGGCATATTTGGTTGTTACAAGTGCTGAGTGGAATGGAGACATACTGTTAGCATGTAGCAGGCCACCAGGGATGCTGCTAAACATCTACAATGTACAAGACAGTCCTCCATAATAGACTGTTACCTGGTCTCAAACGCCAATAGTGCCAAGGCTGAGAAACCCTGGTATACTGTATTCCTTACTATTAGAACTTTGAAGCCAAAGTGATATATATACATTTTCCTGATGTATGTATTTGATTCTTCCTATTCACTCGCTGAAATTTAGCAAGTAAGCAATTTCACATTAATGAGATATTCCTCAGCATCCAAATTCTTCTCAGAACTCAGAACCAAGTATATGCATAACAGAGGTACCTGTATTTTGCAAATATGTGGATAATACAAAACTCAAAAGAATCACAAAAACTATCAGTCACTTAAATTTACTCCATTTGCAATTACTCAAAGATAATTCCACAGAAAGAAAAACTCCAGAAGATATTGGTTTTATAAGTTTGGTACAAGGTCACTAAATATTTTACATAGAAGGGTATCACATAAACTTCATTGATGGATGACAGCTTTTTCCTTAGACTTGCCCAGTAAATCTCTGGCTGTTAAATTTCCCCCTGCATCACTCTCCATCAACAAGGCTTTGGTTTCCTCCTCCTCCTTCCCTCCTAAAAATACACAGGCATCATGACACCACAGAACACACAGCACCTAGGAAACCACATGAGCCACTACAGAAGTGATTGCATTCCAGTGCCTTCTGCTTCATAAAGAAAGATGAGAAGAGCTGAACATTTATTCAGTTTTGTTAAAAGATGACTAAAAGGTGGTGGGGAAAAATCATTATTGCCTACAAGTATTTGCATCACTGTGAAGACAAACTGCCACAGTAGAATCATATACACATATTAAAGATAGAAAATACTGGGGTTCTAAAACCACATGCAGGTATGACTTAGGCAAATAGAGTTTTCTTTTATATAAAGCAGTCATTCTTCACATAGCTTGTAGTCAAAATAGACCTGACCATCTAACCAATGCCCACTGAAGCAGTGCCCCATTGAGGCTGGCTAACAGGAAGTATGATGGCATGCTAGGAGGTGGAGGAGAGCCAAGTTCACCTCAGTTCTATGAGAAACAGATGTATTTCCCATCCTAGATTCCATCAAGGGTTTTAAAGTTGCTCTCTTCAATGGGCTTACCTGCTTCTCCTGCAGCTTGGTAGGCTGAGCAATCTGTCCGGCCAGCAGGCGTAAAGGGGTATTCGCTGGTATCAACCAGCTGAGTTTAACGTATGCAATGAACACAGGCCAAAGCACAAAAGTCTGGACTCAAATTAGAATCAAATCCTGCCATTTATCATCTCTTTAACCCCCAGCAAATAACTTAAACGTCTTCAGCATCTAAGTCCCTCAACTGTGAGACAGGGAGGACACCACCATCTACATCTCTGGATTAGGTGAGTTATCACATGTAAAGTACTCAGCATGAACCTCAAATGTAAGTAATTAATGAATCCATACAATGTTACATGAAATCACATCTTCTTATTGAAATCCTCATACAATCCTGAGGTAGGTACTATTACTAAGCACACTCGCAGAGGAGGAAGTGCAGGCCAATACAATATGCATGTGATAATGCAACACACCACAAACATTTCACACAACTACCTAAACATGTATATTTGAACAAAAACTATGACAGTTTATCAAATGAATGCTCAGTAAATTATTACAGATAGAATGATCACCATGAGTAAAGACATCTAGCCATCAGAAGACACTTGCTGGAATATCTCAATTTAAAAATTCTGTAAGCAGTTAATTGTCATGAAGTATAGTTGCCTTTTATGACAGTAACAAGAACAAAACAGATTCAAAATGATTTAAAACTGGTTGGGGAAGGACCAAAATTAAGATCTGGGCTCAAGTGCTCCAAAATCTTAAAAATTAAAAATGGTCCCAAAATGTCTAAATTTTGTTATTTCAACAAATAAGCTACGTAACTGATTTTAAAGGTGGCAGGGGGCAGTAAATAGTCCAATATTTACTTTTTTGGAAAAGAGATAACTTTCTCATGTTTTCTATCCTCGTTTAAAAAAATCCATACATGTAATAGTCACAGCTGCAGCCACATAAAACTAACTGGGCATGGTGTTCACTGGCAGTGTTTCTAACTCTTCACACAACTGCCATCATTAGCTCGCTGTTGACTCCACTGGCAGCCACTGAGAAGAGAACCCAGTAATAAACATAAACTTACAATTCCAATCAGATGCAGGCAGAGAAAATGCTCCCTGGCTTCACTCATGCAGGAGTGAGAACCTGGCCCAGGCTGTGGAGCCTGAGGCTGATACTGCAATAATGATCTGTCAGAAGCAACTCGGACCAAGGGCCATGCTGCTAGCAACACTGCACAGCCTAACCAGTTGAACTGCACAAGGAATAATACTTCCTCCAGTTGCAACCTACTGGGATACCTTGTCAATGGTTTCCTAAGAATACACCTGAGAGCTAGCTGCCACCATTTACTTTATTTTTGAAGGAGAATTTCCAGCATGGCCAGGAAGTTCAAAATACCTAAGTAGAAAAACACAGCTCACTGCCACTATGCTATACCTTGTGGCTTCCTCATATTTGTACATCTAATTTGTGTACCATCACCCAACGCACACATCCACACACCTCCGGACCCTTCAGACCTCTGCCCAAGCAGGCCTCTTAGAGGAGGAAGGCCCCCCTACAGCCAGAGCTGGTACCCAGTCCTTCAGTGGCAGCCCAGCCCCATAGCACCATGAGCATGCCTGGTGTCTCTGACAGAACACTCATCCAGTGTTAGCACCTTCTGAATTCTGTATCTGTCTTCCCAGTTAGACCGGGAGCTACCTGAAGTCAAAGATTATCTTACTCATTTTCATTGCACCAGAGACTGTTATGATATACCCCCTTATCACAGACACTCAATAAAAATGCTTAAAGAATGAATGAGCTTCAGAATTGGGCCAGGAATATCCTGTTCTCCATCAATTACAGCCTGCCTCCTGCTGCACTTCTCACTCCTACATGTATGACTTTGAGGTATTACTCCAAGCTATGTCCACTGAGTAAATTCCATTACAAAGAATGAGGCATGGCAACTGCAAACTCAGAGAAATTCTTCAAAATTTTATAAGGAAATGCGGGAAAACTCATTACACTGACAATCAACTCCTGAGTTCTGTTTTGGGGATTCACTTTGCAATAAGACTGGTTTCTGCACACCAGCTGATGAAAAGAATCATGAGTCACCAGTTTGGGTCCAA